TCTAGCAGTGGCAATCTAACCCAACAGAAGTCGAGAAAGACTGCGAGTGTCGATTGGCCGTATGCATGGCGCTGCCCAATCACTTGATATCAGGTGGGGATGTTCCACACTCCTGCTTGATGATCCCAGGCTATGTGACGTGCTGAAGATAAGTGCTGCAACGTAAGGGAAGCCAGTAGCCTGCGCGAGACATACGCGCGTTTGGGACACTCGGCTCGGATCCCTTTCTTGAATCGAGGTATGACGACCAATATGCCTTATTTCTCTGGAACACATTCATATTCCCAAATATTTACAATAATCTAGTCATTGCAGAACACGAATTTCCCCTCCATATTTGAATAGCGTTGGCTCGGTGATCCGATCGTGTTCAAGGAAGAACGGCATATTAGTATTTGAGAAACTAACAGAGGGTTTGAACTTGGGCCATGGCTCAAATTAGGAGATCGAGCAAAAGACCTAATTGATGAGGCAGATGGCTAAATAAACTTTTCCCTAGACTATTCCGACCAGCGGTCTACAGGATGATCCTTATTCTGTGTAGGGTTTCCAATGTTATATTTGATTAACGAGTTCGTGAGTTACCTTTCACACCCTCTTTGGCAGGTTAGCTGGGACAGCATCATCAATCTCTTCCATTTCTCAAACGTTCTGATTCCATCGCGCCTAGTGATCTACCCACTGACTACGTTTGAACTCAGTTGTTAAGACGCCAACCGGGAGGTCTGCGGTTCGAACTCGATGTTTGCGTCTCCTAGGTTCGGACAACCTGGTAGGACTATAGTCTTTGGGAGCGTAATCGAATACGATGAATAAGCACCGGTTGGCAGTGCGTTTCCGTGATGACCTTACGGACGCTACCAAGGGACCACATAGAGGCAGCTATTAGTGAGAAACCATTCATGCGATGCCAGATCCAGCATAAGCAGCTGTAGAGGCCTGTGTATCATCAGTGTTTCCCAACCGGAAGCGAGAGGAAACCGATGTGATCGGTTGAACCACCATATTTGGCTCTTGAGTCCCCATTTCAGGGAGACAGCACATCAATAGAAACCAAGTCTAGCATATATGCAGCAATAGTCAGGTGAAGTGAACCTAGAGGTTGGAGTGAATATTTCGTGTCTATGGTCGTGGCGACCTAGTTAGCTCAAGATATTACAGGTAACAGCAGTGGTTCACCTATCCATCAGTCATTTAAAGTAGGTCGGTGAAAATGCAGCTCGAAACGAGACAAGGAGAGGAAAACGGATATGTAAAGAAGCAAGAGCAGGGCCTGTTTTGCTTACCTGCAGTGCTGTTAGGTGAGCTAGTTAATGGTACTGCGCGACAGCCGATGTAGAATGGTTTGTTTTACATAGGCTGGGACACCTTCAGATCATCCAGGCCTAGACGAAAGGATGATCAGACCCCCGTCTCAAAAGCCTGATTGGAAGGGTACGCTGGTTGGCATAAGGCCATCAGAGCAAGTCCACCAGCTCACGTAGTTTTCTAGAAGAGTAAAAGGAATAAACTTCGGATTCGAACGGATTTATGCAAACACTGAAGAACGAGGACTATGTACGGAGCTCAGGAGGACATAATTATCTAAGTTACAAGCACTTCTTTAATGAGGTGACTGCAACAAAAATGTTTATATATGAAACCGAGATAGCCAGTGAAGCGATGTCGATTCCTGAACGTTCTCATGAGCCCATGCTGTCCAAAGTTTCACTGTGAGGTTTGGCGAGAGGACATAGGCTGGGCGCGAATACTGACAGAACTATACATGACTGAGACCTACGACTGCTTCATAGCCGTTCTGTCAGTAGAACCTAGAGAACGGATCAGTATCGACGACCCATACCCATATTTGACAGTTTTACAGCTTTTCGTAGTGTTTTAGTTACGGGAGAGCTATGTAGTCTGGATCCAAGGAAGACTCCAGGTGGTGACTGCCTCCACCCTTATGTGACCTAATACGCCCTTGCTTAGTCAACTAAGGGATATTCCAGCCTTTGATTTGAAGCTTAGTAAATAGAAGAGGGCGATGATTGGGAATGGGAGTGTGACCATTGTATTTATCGTCCGGGTAAACTTACAAGCGTTGTCTAGCCTAACTGAGTGAATCCATCCCTTCTGAGTCTGTCAGCGCGCGACAGAAAACGAAATGCTTAGTAACGGATAGTATAGCTTCACACCAGGACGTTTTCCCCTCACGAATTTCCTCAATCTTCTTGATTCCATCATTAAAAATCGACGGGAAGCGAGTGGTTTGTTGTCTTGATATTCAAAAGTTTAAATGCTATCGGTGCGACTCTCCCTGCAGGATCAAAGATTTCTTGTGAGAACGAAATATCATCGTGCATCGATGCAGCAGTCAGTTTGGATTAAAGACGGCACAGCTCCACCATAGCTCATTTTTCTTATTTCCTCTGCTATTCTCCGGTACGACCTCACGTTGAGCGCTGCTGGTAAGCACGGAGTTGATTCCACAGTCGTTAGAATCGTGAGAGATGCCCAGAAGGTTGTAATGGATTATAATGGAGTATAATGTCTACGGGCGGCCTTTCCTCGTTTGAATCAGAGAGCAAATCCAGAGCTTAACACTCGGGTGGTGAATGCTGGAATAAGTTGCTAACTGGCGTGACCGATCGAACCTTAGAGGTTCGACTCATACACAAAACATTGCTTGATCCTATCCAAGGACGGTCCTTACAGACCAGAGTCTACGTCCCTGAAATCTACAGAATTCTTCTGTAGATTTTGTATATCGCTGAGAGCTCTCGTACTCTAGCTTTCCACTGTCCAAAATGTACACCGATGATTGTTTTTCTGCTTCGTTACTACCGATGCGACTGATGTGCTGATGTGTACTGATTAACTCGGCACTGTTAGTCTTCTCCCCCGACGTGAAGCCTCTACGTTTCATATGGTGGTTGGGCTTGAGTGGTTCAGTGATTCCGTGGGCTACACTCGCTGGAACGTCGTTCCACAAAGTGCAACCATACCAGGAAGGCCAAAGAGGAGAAATCAGACTAAGGGCGGCGAAACTTCGTAACAAGCGTATTAGTGCCACAAGGCGGTTTGGGAGTAAAGTCATACTTTCCTCTGTGATAGGAATGTGAAGACAGTAAGGTGTTCCCGCACAGGTGACCGGTATGTCCATAATCATGGCAGCAGCAATGCTGCTTTCCACCGAGGAAAGACTGGTTTGAAAAGGTTTGCCCCTAGAACAGCAAACTCCGATCACCCAATGGTTTACCGTGACCGCCGGTGCGTCATTCAGTACTGTCGAAATACTTTTAAAACCAAATATTCTAGTGCTACTCAAAAGGGGCTTGTTGTGCACAGCTACATAAGGATGAGACAGTAATATTTTAATTCGTGCATCCTTGGGTTAGGCCAACCTCCTGCAGCCGAACAGGTCAGACCACTGAGTTAGTGGCACTGAAAATGCTCTCCAAAGAAAACCCTACTAACCGGTGCATGCGCATCAGACTTTTGAGCCAGATGCTAGGGGCATGGTTCCCGAACAAAGCTATACATCCTCCCACTGCCCCTCGGTCAGACTTCTGTGTCAATGGCTAAAGGCGCGGTATCTCAGTTAAACCCGCTTCCTCAACCTGGGCGACTCGAAAGTATCTTTTTTCCGCACAGTTCTTCGTCCGCTAATTTCCCTCCCAGAGCCCTTCTCGCCACACAAGAAAACGTTGTTGGGCCATTTGACTGTCATTTATCTGACCAATAGGACTTATGCTCCCGCTGCTTATTAACCATAACCAGAGTAACACCTTTCTGAATGCACTAGGTCTTTTATAAACGAGCGATTTTAACGTCCGCACTGTAGGTCAAGCTCGCAAGCAGTTTATGCTCGCTGGAGCCTTATCCTCCCTGAAAATTGATGTATGCTGTCACCGAAACACGCGTGCAAGACCGAAACGTGGTTATGCATCTCGAAACCTCAACGACGAAATCAGCTCTTCCATATTTCTACCTCCGTTTCTCCGGTGACTCAGAACCAATGACAATATATGGGGTGGCTGTTGCTCTCAGCCCCGGAGCTAAACGCTCTCTGCTGGATTGGATCCCAATGAACAGTCGTCTTTGCGCCGTCGGGTTATCCAGCTCGGTCAATCTCAATGCCTCTCAACATAAAAAAGGGTGCCTGTTTGTAGTGTCGGCTTAGGCTCCAACGGACTACAGTTTTGAAGTTGAGAAGAATACTTTCTATCAAGAGTTATCCAGGCTCTTTTTGTGACACTTGAGGGCGATATTAATGCCTCTGATCTCCTTGGAATCACAACTGGACAATCGATTGGTTGAGGACGATCGTCGCACGGACAACTGTTTCTGGCCAGTACCAACTTTCAGCATAAACGTTCGAATCGCCTAGCCTGGAGGTCACTAACTGCAAGTCAATCGTGTACGCAGTTGGACTACATGGCCATCGCCCACTGATTCAGAGCTACAGCTCAAGACTGCCCTCCCTTCTGGGGCACACAACCTGATTCTGATCATCCCATGGTGCGTGCACGCCTGACGGTTCGTTTCCCATCAAGCCCTCGCAGGTCATCAAGAAGCATGCAAATCCACCACCTTCGAAGAACCAACATAGTTCAAAAGTATCGATCTAAATTCGCCCAACAAATCTCCACAGTAAACCGATACTGTGATGTTAGTGAGCACGTGAATCTATGTGGCTATCGTCCAGCTATAACACCTTTCCGGTGCCAAGGTGTCATACCACCCGAAGGAAGCACGAGGGCTGGGATACCGCCAGGCTGCCCAAGTCCAGGCGGGAGTGATCGATAGGCAGAGACCGGGTTCGAATCACGGACCTTCCGGTTAGTAAATCCGCGCTCTAACCACTGAACCGCCTCGCCCATCACGCATTATTAACGAATTTGCTTTCTCGAACGCGGTCAATGGTAAAAAGCCGTATCTAACAGGACCCACTTTGATCGGTCTAGCTCTTGGCACAAGGTCACCCTCTTTTTCCATTTTTATTCCACAGCGATCTGATGTCTAACGAACATTCTGTTGATACGGCCGATTCGATTGTGATGAGCAGTGATTCTGTGATTGGGGGGTTCACGGTCATTGGTGACAAATTGCGATATGATCAAACCAAGCCTACTGAGATGCTTCCCTTCTGGATCACACAAGCTACTTACTTTCCCAGTGACCTTAGTTTCCGACAGAAGGTCGATGACTTGAAGGAGTTGCATCCCTTTATGCAGTCTCGCCTAGCTGACATGGGTTTCTCGGAGTTGTTCCCAGGTTTCTCCGCTGACCGTTATGTTAACATGTTCATTCAGTACAAGCTTGTGTCATCCCCTCAATATTGCGTTCGTACCGCCTTAATAAGCGGCGCCCGTTGTGTCGTCCGAGTGATATCTGCATAGCCGCTCCGACAGGTAGTGGAAAAACACTTGCATATTCCGTTCCCCTAATCCAGGCAAGTTTTTAATCCTTCTTTGGAACTCAGCGCCATGTAGCTCTTGCATGGGCGTGTGCAAGTCTTCCTTCGTGCATTAGTAATTCTTCCAGTTCGAGATTTAGCAGCACAAGTATTTCAAGTGTTACTCGACCTGGCCGAAGGTACCGATCTTCGTGTAAGTTGCCTCTTGATTTGCTACTAATTGTTCCATCACGCCATTACAGATCGTTCTAATTAACGGTTCTAAAAGCTTCACAAAGGAACAGTTGGATCTGGTTGACACGTCAGTTAATTTAACCCATATCAATATAGAATCCCGTGTAGAACATCCTCTGTTGCCCACACCAAAGCAGATATTGTTGTTGCCACACCTGGTCGACTGGTAGACCATATATACAACACGGTCGGTTTCAGTCTTGAAAAGTTGAGGATTTTGGTAAGCATCGTCTTTCTCTTGTTCCTGGTCCCTATTCGCCTTAGTGTTGAATTGAATTTGCGTCCGACGGATTGAAATGCTTAGATGTAAACCTTTTGAATTATATAAGTTACGTTCCCCCTAATCTCTTGATCATTTATAGAGCATATCCGAAGCTTTTTTGAGAGTGCGTTTACTATTTGGTGACGGTATTTTGAGACGTCCTCCCTATCAAATGCCCAACCATGAGTATTCTTGGGGAGTATCCTAACCTCGAGCTCGGTGTAACTCATAAGCTAAGGTGCAAGACCGTGGTCAGCTGCTACATGTTTCTCAATTCTTCACAGCTGATAAAGGGACCGTTCAGCCGTGGATTTAAGTTACTCATAGGGGATATACATGGTCCAGGGACTTCCCCTCGGAAAGGGTTTTCTATTGAAATACGCCTTTAGAAGACCAGCGAAGAGTGGTCTTTGCCGGTCTTCTGTAGCTCTTGAATGGTTGCGCCGATTATTTGTCCACGGATTTATGCATCACCATATTCTCTTGTGTTTTAGGTCATTGACGAAGCTGATCGTGTAATCTTGGAGGAGAAACAAGACTGGTATAGAATACTGGAAGATGCTCTTTATCATCCTAATGCATTTGCGTTCGATATCGATGGGGAAATTGGCCATCGGCGTCCGACAGGAATGCAGCGAACACGGCCTGTTATGACTATCATGCATCAGTATGACACAAGTCATGATACAACTTTGCAAAAGGCGAGTAGCCCTCCAAACCTGGTTTAAATCCTAGTTTTCAGTGACGTTCTGATATCGAATCGCTCCTTTCAGCTTACCAGATCATAGACTCCCCATCACAAATTGACTTATTCAATTGATTTTAACTTATTAGCTATAAACCGTGTGCTATAAGCACAGTGGTTCCAGCTGCTACAGTTTTGATCACCGGTAAACGGGAAAGTGGAACATGCGACCAAGCCTTGGAGGCGGGGGTGTGTTCAGTCTGTTCGGAAATTGAAGGCGCATTGAAGGCGATAGCTTTGATGCACAAGCGCCACCGACTACGCGATTGGGCCAATCCCGCCAATGTCATTAACACTGGTGAATTGAGTCCCGGGGTCCCCATGCAGGGAGGCGGCAGTTGCTCACCCGATTAAGTTTACTGGGTAGTGCTTTCGTACTTCTTTTCCAGCTCATACACTGTCCATCTCTCAGTCGCTTCCACTCAGCACAGGGCTGGGAAAAAAGTGATCTGTGAAGCAGATGGTCTTCTGAAAAGCGGAGTACCTGACCCAACCAGCGCAACCTATGAAGCGCCAGTAATTCATCTATCACGGAAGAGTTTCTTCTTCCTCAGACCGTCTGACGTACCTTAGCATTGTTAATCCGATGTTCCACCGGACGTGACCAATGCTGCGGAGATACTGATGATCAATCGCTGGCATCCTTCGTAGGGGCCACATCTCTGATCCATAAACCATTATGGATCGCACCCCCGCATTGTAAACTCTTACCTTGACAGATAAGCTCACGTCTCGTCGGCGCCATAGGTGTCGGAGCTTGGTATAAGCTGCTCTGGCCTTTCCGATTCGAGAAATAATCTATTCTTCAGCCAGTCCACCGGATCTTATACAGCTGCCCAGGTAAATAAATCTATCTACCACGTCGATTGGCTCACCCGCAAGCATGAGGTGTGGGTTTGATCCCACCCAGTCTTGTAGCAGCTGTGGAGCGCATGCCAAACTGTGCGATAGAGTTATTTAGGTTACTTGAAATCGTTTGTATTTGGGAAGGATCTGAACCAAGGAGAGCAATATTGTCTGCATAATCCATGTCTGTTGGGGAACGTCCCGGGAACATTTCGACTCCCGAGATTTCAGAGACAGGCGGAGAAATTTCAAGCATCATATCAATTACAAAGTTAAGGAGGAAAGGGAAAGAGTGCGGTGAACTCAAGCGAGAGCTTCCCGTATACTCGTACGCGCCCGCAGGAGTTCGCCCACAAGGGATAGAAATTTGGAAGGGACACCTTTGATCGCCAGACACTGCCAAAGTTACGAACGATCGACAGAATCAAAAGCAGCTTTCAAGTCACTGGCACCTGCCTTCTTTTGACCTGTTGATCGGATCAGTTGAAACAGGGCATGGCTGTTGCGTGCAGCGAAAGCCTTCTCCATCTCCTGGGCCTTTGAAATCCACCAGCGTTCTCTGCCATTCTTTAAGCTCCTGATTATCCGGTGTTTAAGAGATCTGCGTTCGCCATCACAGTCGCTAGTTGCTGGTATGGCCTTTCTGGCACCAATAAGATCTGCTGATCTTGAAGATATCCAGTGTTCGTTGAGTCGAGTCAGATGGCTTGGACAAACAATTCTGAAAGCTGGCAGCATTGCTTCCTTTACTCGCTTCTATTCATCCTCCAAGCATTTTTCGTCGTCTACATGACTGTGCGTTTCTCGTAACTTTCTGGCCAGATTAGCTCGATACTCTTCAGCTACTGAATTTTGTCAAAGTTGGTGAATGGAGCTGCTGTCTTTCGGCACGCGTAGCGCTGACGGAAAACGAAGTGCTAAGCGTGCCTGCACGATGGCGGGATCAGAGTCAAGTTGCGTATCCCAGAAGGAATGAGAATCCTCAACTGAAGCTCTCTATCGGCAACTGGTAGCCATATGGTCCAATTGGATCCACGGCTGTCTTGTGGTAGGTGACCTCTAACTAGGTGTGTGCGTTTGTGTTGGAAATTCGTACAGGCCAGGAACGGACGATGATCTGCACACAACGCTCAGCATTGACTCCAAATCGACAACCTAACTGTGCTTCTTCCGGACTTAGTCGTCCAACTTTGGCATTCCTATCACCCGCCAGGATTACTATATCCGTCCTTCTTGCCGACCGAAGCATTCGTGACATATCTTGATAAAACTCGTCCTTCTCAGTCTCAGAACTGCTATCTGTTGGGGCGTATGCTGGTACGACAAACAAATACCGTTAGTCTTAATTGAGCTAGACAACCGCACAGTGCCAAGGTGACTGTGTACTGGAATCCAGTGTAGTAAGGTGCTTTCAGCCTTGGGGCTGAGTGCGACTCCCACACCGTAGATACTACGAGCCATTGTGTCAAGATCACCGGATGCCCGAAAAGTGAAATGTGGAACATCTTGGCTCGTCCTAAGCGGCTTGAGGAGCATGACCGAAGTGGGGTCTTGTATGCGTGTTTCGGAGACACGACTTTCATCGATAGAGAGGGGAAGTAAGGTTTCAGCAAGGGATGCTTGTTGCCAAATTCGACATAGATTGCGGACATTGAAGGCTGCAACGTGGATCAGGTCTTTTGAGGTTAGTAAGTGACTGTTTCGGTTTATTTTTCTGGGTGATGGTTGAGACACGGAACAGTAGCTAGGGGACTGGCAAATGGATTGATTACACTGGATTGTACGATTGGTTGGGAAGGAATGAGGGTGAAGGCCGTCTAGCGAAGAGCTGCAAGGGCAAATGATACTTCCCGGTTGCCCAGGTCGAAGAGGGGGGTTTCGTTGAGGTACCCCACCTTAAGCCTTTGATTCAAAAAGTCTGACCTACAAGGCTGTGGAATGATGTGGGGTTTTGTTTGGGGCCCTACCCCTACCCTCTGATTCAAAAGTCTGGAATGGAATGATTTTTTAGGCAGCTATGAACTTTGAAGGAATAAGTGCTCAGTTTCTGTGGTTAATTTTCTATTGTTTATGACTGTACGTTGGCTCTCATATCCTCGCAAACTTTCCTTTCTTGCTCTCATTTGATAGATCCTCGCCTCGGCTACTTTGACACATGACCCAGAACCGCTGAAGCGGTTCAACTTGTATTTTCCACAATTGTTTGCTTCGAGCACTTCGGCTCAACCAATAAGTTCAAACGGACCCATTGTTTCTGACATCGACCACACCATTGAAACTGATCTAGAGCCACCAGTGAAGAAGAAAAAGAAGCAGAAAAAGAAAAATGCGCTTTCAGAGGGAATGGCGCACAACGCTAGTCATACAGACTGCAGCGAAATGGTTCAGGACGCTGGTGGTGTGGGGGTGTTCAGTACTCCTCCTGGCTTGAAGGTAACGTTCGATTTACAGTGAAATATCCATTACTATTTAGGCCGTAATACCATTTTTATCGACTGTGATTGACGTTACTCACTTCCTCTGGAGTAATCACCGCAGTGGTTTATGTTTAAGGTCAGCTTCCGGCAGGCAACTCCGACTTCACCAGACTCTTCGTAATCCGTCACCGTTACTTCGACGCTGATGTTCATGATTTTATTCATCAAAACTTGCATGTTATGACCTTATCCTTTGTTGCTACGGCCAGGGAACAGTTGAAATGCTCTCTTTGGTAGTCCGAAAGAAGCTTAGCCTGGCCTTCGAGTTACTCTAAATTAGCCAGTCCATACTGGCTGATCATTCCATCTGGTAACGATATTAGAGACTTGTACAACAGTCTCTTACCCGATACCACATACGGCCGTTAAGTTAGTAGAAGAGTTCGTTTTTCAAGAGCATCAACACGCCTCCCCCATCCCTAAGCCTCCTTGGCATTACCGAAAGAGTTTCCAGGATTGCTGATGTTGCTATTACTAATCTCATGCTCCACATAAGGCCCATCTGCTTTGGAGTCTTGACTTCATGCAATGAAAGAATCAGATGTATTTCAGTTCCATAACTTAGCCAGCTCAATGCAATGGTGGATCGAGAACCTGATCGTACTCCACCGTTGGAATTCAGCAGTCTATGATCAAGGAATTATGCGAGGGAGGTCCAACCAAGCCCTCAGCCAGTAGCCCCGGGCGTAAAAAGATGGGTTCTGTTGTGGGTGGGTTCTTCCCACGTCCAAGTGGTGGGCTGTTAGGACGAATTATATTCAGGCTTGTCGTTTTCTCAAACTGTCCGGGTACTTTCAGAATGTAATCAATGGAACACGAGTGCGTGCTGTGTATTTAGACTACAGCTGAAACTAAAACAAATGACAACTGTTAACGATGGGAAACATTGAACAAATCAACCTGAAAGCGGCTCCCAATAATGAGGAACTTACATGAAGACATTCCAGTTATCGTGAGCGCCTTGTACAGGAAGGCTGTCAATTTCGCAGCTTTGGTAGACATACCAGTTTTTAAGATCTCCATAGTGCGATTTCATTGCTGAAAACATGGATGGACTAAAACGTCCGTTGTGAACGACTCATTCAATATAGGTCGCTGGTTTACGAATGATTTATAAAAGTGCTGGGTACTCGTCGTTTGGAGGTAAGGGCTAACTACGAGCCATTGTTTCATCCGAAGCTTGATCAGAAAACTCGGTGCGAAAACTCCGTTTTATTACCCTTTTAGGCAGTATATTTATTTTGAAAATATACCGGACCATTAATTGAACGTGATTACAATATTCTGAGGAAAATACTAAATTATGCGAGGTCGTCACTATTTTATCAGTTTCAGTAAACTACTATTTGATCTCTAGGAAATGTTCATCTCTCTAACTGTACCATATCTCTCGTGGTCTGTGCGTTTTTCCTCCACTACTTTCTGATATATTGATTGTTTTGAGCTGGCCGTGCTACCTAACCTTGGCTAATATAGCGCGCGTTTTTAGTTATCCGATCTGTCGTCCCTTACCGCGGTGCACAACCTTGATGTTTCCGGCGAAATCGTATAGTTCCGCGATGAAAACAGGAAACTCGCCCCACTTTCATTTCACAGATTGAAGGGATGATGTGAACTGCTTTTAGCCACAAGCTATCATCTTTTTTTATCTTGATGTGTTTTGAATGAGTAGAACTTGGTCCACTTCACTTCACATTACCTAGCGAAGTCGCAGATGACCAACCACTCCTACAGTGTTTTTTCTCCTGCTTGGTTGTTGTGATGTAAACGTAGCTAATTATATCCTTCTAAGTATTTCCTTTGCGAATAGGTTCCTGGTTCACGAAGAACTTTTCCCCTTCGAATTATCTCGCGAATTGACGTTTCGTGCAATTCGGAAATGCTACATAAATTTGCTGTTAGATGAAGTATATCTATGTCGCCTAAAGGTTACGATGTCTGCACATCGGGTACTGCTAATACCATCAAGCCTTTAAAAGAGATGGAATTAGGATCTGAAACATATTTTAGAACAGAATGATCATTTTGCGCAATCGTGTTATAATAAAGAATTCCGCCTAATGAGGACTGTTCCCTTCATCTTCTATCAAAATTCTGCCGTACTATGTGCTACAGTTTGTGAACCCCTTAATCGTCGGCTTTACTGACCACTATACGGAAGTGGTTTGAATACGTTCGAGCTGATTAACTCTTACTGATGTAGCCCTCATCACCACAATGCCAAAGATTCGGATGCCGATATTGGCAGTATGGTCTCTTCCTAAAAAAGTTGACCGTGAAGGCTGGTGGGCGGAGCCAACGGGCTTTGCATGTGACGCCTGAGATTTTCGGTGACTCCTGCTATATGGTTTGAGTGATGTGTCAAGAATGCAGGAAGAACGCTCAGGTAACTTGAGGGAAACAGTAGGTCGATAATTCACAAGGACATTCTCTATGAGTTACAGATGTTTACCTTAGAACTTAATAAGAATGCGGCTAATAGATTTACGCATTGCCTATTACTGTTAAAGTCTGCAGTAGCAATCTGGCTCCCCTTCATTTGCACGACCGTGATTACAAGTGTGGAAGTCAAGCACTAACTACAAGTGTTTCGAACAGGTGTATGTGCATTACAGAGAAAATGGAAGATCAAATGGCAACGCCCTCACCACTTGGATTCATCTGTTGCTTTGTTTGATGTCACTTGTAGGACTCTTCATCACCTGTACCCTCTCAAGACCACTATGGTACTTACAGGTGCCATGCCCATTCCAGTCCCTGCTATTTCCCACCCTCACTCCAGTGCATATGAGAACCATGGCCATCAGGGCACTGAATTCCAGTGTCCTTGGCATCTAATACCCTATTTCGCAGCGTTTTGTCTTGTGGAAGAATTGCATCTCTATTTATTCGTTACCAGGAATTCTTTCAGCGTTTATAGCACGCGTTATTCTTCAAAGTCTGACCAATATGCCACCAACTGTCGTCAGGCAAACCCAGCTAATGGGTTATGGTATAAATAGATGTAACGATTCCTCCCATATTATTATATAATCATTACACTTTACAAGCTGCGTAGATGATCAGAGGATCATGGAAGAATGACGGTGAGAAAACAACTTTTGCGTTTTGACAAGATCACAGATAGTTAACTTCCCAGAACGAGGTAAACAACCTGGTATCGTTACGAATCTGCTATTATTTTACTCGTCTCATTGAAAACTGTAGCAGGCAGCGATTCCGCAATTGTACTTCTCCGTGGATTACTTTTTGACGTAATAGATATTCCGGAGACTGGTAGATATCCATAAGAAATTATTTTTTAGATGACAGATTAGGACGCATGCAGACCAACCTTTAACCAGCGAACACTTATGACCGTAAACATGGATCCCTCGCTTCAAACTACTACTACTTGCAATCGGCACCAGATGTACTCATGGGCGTTAGAGATTACATCTTTCGGAGATTTCATCCTGTAAATGAAGACAATCTGTACTGAAAAGCCGAGAGCCACTGTACAGCTGTTTCATCCTTACTGGGAATCATCAGCGGTGCGCATCTTGCGAAACTCCGGAAAGTCTCTTCAACCCGTGATCTCCTGGCTATTCAGAGTTACGCAAGATGCGCACCGCTGATGATTCCCAGTAAGGATGAAACAACTGCACAATGCTTACCGGCCTTTCAGCATACTTTGGCCTCACTTACAAAATGAAACCTTCACAGAATTCCCAAATCTCCTCACACCACCCACAGATAACATCTTCCAGTGTTGCCATGAGACGTCTGGAACACGATCGTTGGGTTCTGTTCGGTTCAGCTCGATTGAAACTTCACAGATATAATTTCGCTGTTTGTTGGTCTCTATGTTGATAATCTGCACACTTGTTGATACAACAGTAAAGATTCGAAATTTGTACTTTGAAAGATACTACGCAATTATTAGCAACCCACTTCTCTGGCGGAAACCAGTTGTCAATGGCGACTAAAACTGCACCCCTTCGTGATGACCGCTATTCGTCTCTGACATTCGACTCCATTGTTATCTTTATTGTCAGGAGTATGTGGTATCTGTGCAACCGGAGCATCGGGCCCTCTTTTTGGTTCACCTTATTCGACACGAGAATGTCAAACGCGTGTTGTGCTTCACCAATTCCCGTGCAACAGCCGCGCGGCTGCACTTGCTGCTCAGTAATTTCAAGGGAATCAGATCGTATAGAATCTCAGGTCATATGCCACCTGACAAAAGGCAGCGTGTGCTGAGTGCATTCGCCCGCAAAGAACTGGACGTACGTGAGTTGATTAGAAACGTGAACTCCGCAGTATTGTTTCACATAAAGAAGTGTAATTCCTTTCGGTATTTACCCATCGTATTAGATCTCCTTGAGTTAGTCAGATTTTGCACTGGTATTGCCAGTTATCTACGTATCCTTGAAATCACCAAGACGAAATCACGAACAATAGGCCTCGCTTTCCTTGGCACAACACACTGCTCATAATGTTATTGGAAACTCTTCAACAACCTCCCACCGGTTCCGTCGTTCTTGTAACCTATCAGCTAGGCGAAATCTTTGGGTTGCCATCAACCATCACTCATTTGCAAGTTACCATGGTGTTAGCGAGAGACAACCGAATCTCTCATTCTTCTGATATTCCTCAACTGAATCTGCTACGCGAAGGCCGTCTTATGTGTCGTTGTGCCCTAAATTCGTGATTTCGTGGTTCATTTTTCGAAAGAACACGCTATTTCTGCAGATATTAAAAAACGAGAGGTTCAGCTGAATCTTTCCTAGGCACTACCACAGTTGTGTACTACAATTGTTTCACTCCACCAAGCTGTTGCTTAACGTGTTCCTGTGTGGCTGGATATGTAACTTGCGCTCGTTCGTCCAAGATGTCTGGCCAAGTTGTGCCTCATGTTTTCTCCCCACCCACATGCAGATTCTTGTATGTACGGACAGTATGGCCCGCGGGATGGATATCAAAGAGGTAAACTGTGTGGTGTCGTATGAAATGCCCCCGAATGTGAAAATTTACGTTCACCGGGTGGGACGCACTGCGAGAGCTGGTCAGCCTGGTTTGGCCTACACTCTACTTAGCAAAAATCAGGTTAGTTTTTCTGTCTTTACTGTGTGTTAACTTACTTAGGTTAGCTTGGTTTTTGTCTAACTTGGAGAAATCTTTGAGTGGTACACTTTGTGTTCGTCGAAGTTCCGTCACAACCTCTTCATCCTTGAATCATCACCGGTTCGAAAACCGCGTGCATGTCGCACGGAGCTTATAACTGCCACAGTTTCGTTAATCGATGATTTTGGGAGGTAGGGGTGGATAGCCATGCATTGAAGGTGGTAGCTGTTGTAATTGATTTATGTGTACAGAGGGTGTCAGTGAACTTTTAACTGGGGAGATCGAAAGGAGAACTGTGAACTGAAGGTAACAGTTTGAATTCATGCGCAATGTTGAGCGCCAGGCTGGGTCGTGTCTGTCAAGGTTTCCAATCATCAATGTGTCCCGTCTCGGACCACCATCCAGCGGAACGACAGCTCAGCTGGATTAGCTGGTAATGGATTTCGTACTTCGCTTCCAGGTCAATGCTTCAGCCCCTCTGTCCCGTTTTCAACCTCCGCGTGTTTGTGCGAAATGGACTTTCCGAGGAAGTTAGTTGACTGGCATACGGAACCGTGATCAAGCCAGCGTAACCTTCGGAATGTGATCAGTTCATCCATTGTAGTTTTGTTATTTTTCCGAAAACCATTCATTGTACTTCGGCTGTACTTTAGTCCGATGTTCTTACGAGACTTCAGTAATATATTGAAAACACGGATAGTCAAACTCTGAAAGTTCTTCAATGTCCTGAGCTCGCGGTTTCTTACCCATGACAATGTGGAGCGTATCCTAGCACCGTAAACTCAACCCGTAACAAAAAGCCCTATGTCATGCTTTTGACACGGGTGATGCAGGTTCACAGAGGCTGCTCTGATCTTCCCACTTTTTGACCAAAATATTGTTTTTGGCTGGGCTACTGGGACTGATACAACTGCTCAGGTAGACAAGTTTGTCTACTACCTTAATCGGCTTGTCCGCCAACGTGAGTTTCGGGTTGGGGCCCACGTAGTCTACACGTTGCAAGTGTGAGGCGCATGTCCAACCATTCACTTTTGCGCCATTCAGTGATCATTTCTTTATTTGGTCAAACCCCAGCGCTGTGAAGGGGTTTTTCCTATTACTCCCAGAGGCAATAATTTCCCAGACAACCATTAACATGCGCAAGGTTGAGTTATGGTGTCCCATTATGGGAAGCACCGAAAGCCTTCAGTTTCATGTGTTTGAAGCTTACTGATCCAGTTTGTACACACCGAACGAAGGCCATTCATTCTGGGTTCAAAGAACGCCGCCGGTCTTGGAGCTTGGATCCCCAAAACAGCTGCACAGGGTGTCAAGATGCTACAATCGTCCTTGAGTCGCTTCCTTCACGTTTTGGCATCCTTCCAGCCTTCCTGTCATGATTACCTCAGTTTGGTAACCAAAACTGCACTCATATCATCTGAGCGTGATATACGATTAGTGTTGTCAGCAGTGGCCAGCTGTTATATGCTAAATGGACTAGCTGGACCACGAAGCCGTCCTCTTTTTCATCAGTGATTCTATGACGTACGAAGGAGGTTTTGGAAATATACCTGGTCTGGGAGCCCATGCAGAAGCAATTTATTGTGCTCTGGCTAGCCTTCCCATTCTGGGTCGGTTGCATTCCTTCTTGCCAATGGAATCAAGACTAGATGATGGCTTGGTCAACTGGTTAGTCAGACTTCGCGGCGAAGGGCCTGTAAGAGCACAACCGTCTCTGGGAGATCGGTCTTTTGACCTCACCTGAAAGCCATTGCGGGATACCGCGGCTTAACTTTGTCCTGGGAACCGCCTAAATATGTCGTTTCGCATCAGCTATATCCGGGAAATACTTTTTACCTGCAACCTCATCTCACGCTTGCTGATGAAGGGGGCATGTACACAACGTGCAAAACGAAAAACGATTGAGGATGGTTGACAGAAGATTGATGACATGTCGAGTAGGGTTAAAAAACACACTAGCCTTGGGCATCTGAAAATTTTTTCGGGGTCCTCTTGCATCTGTCGGAGCTTTGCTATCAACTTTCTCATGACTGTTGTAATTTTGTTGTTTCCAGTCTGCTACAGTTCAAATGACGTTTACCATATTATTCCTCTTCAGTGATGCGGCTGGCAGCATATTCCACATAATGATTCGAAGATTTAGTGTTTTACAATGCGCCAACTAGAGGCCACCGTCCCTGCTCTGTCAAGTTTTTATGCACTCAAACTATTTTTGTTAGCTTATGTCAGATTTCTTCTTGAGTGTGATATTGTCGCGATCTTTTCATTCTATTTATTTTCTAATCTGACGGCGTCTTTTGCATGTGGCCCTCACCCTGTAACATTGGTTGTCACCACTACTGCTACCAACTATGATTCAATTTCACCGCAATTTTCCTCGGTTGAAACCGTGCCGTTCGGTTCACAAACGATGTTCCCATAGACCAACACAAGACCATAGTGATGGGATGTTTTTAATTTGTCTTTGCTTTATCCATAAGCTACCGGCTCAGCTAGCACGGAGAACCCACTAGCCATATCCATTAAATATCTTATCTTCATCCCATTGCTTACTAGAGCTGCTGCAAGTCGACAAGGAAACAGGCGGTCAAAAGTGTGAATTGGTCTTTCTTATCCCAATCTTGTAAGGTCTCTTGCTGATGATGTAGTTCTGTGTAGTCCGTAGAAGGGCGGTCTGGTAGTTGATTTCAGACTCCGGGGATACTTCACTTACGAAGGGCCCCGCTATCTGGTGCAGTACAACCTAACCCCATCGGTTTAGTTCGGGATGAATTTTATAGTCTCTTGATTTGAATAGCAGGAAGATTCACCAAACCGAGAGAAGCAGCTCCACCTACTCCATCTAGCGAGAAAACCATCCAGTTTGCTTCTTACTGGAGCATACGGCTACAATGCACAAGCGGTAGATGAGACTAGGTCTCCTCCGTTCCCAATCTCTCGTTTCTCCAAACTGGGGATAGCTCAATATTTACCCTCTTCATTCTTTTTTTACTCCCAGTTCTTTCATTTCAAGAAAGACCTTCGTGCAGTCGGAAAACGAAAACTGAAGGAGGTCACCTTCCACACTAGCCACTTTGCAAATTTACAGGAGGAATACAAACAGGCTCTATGTCGGCTTGAGGAAGAAGTCAAGGTAACACAAAAGTTCTATCCGAAATGACAGTCGATTTGTTTTACCACTATGGTTTGATTCGTGCTGATCTGTACTTCCCCATTTTCCGTAGACCGTATCCTTTGGTTCTTATCTCGATTCATCTGTTCGCCTTCGTTTTGTTCCTGCTGTTAGTTACTCTGGCGTTGCGCATTTGCTTTCGTTTTTAGACGTCTTCCAAACCAGCTACCGGTCATTCCACAGATATCCTCCAGACCGTAAGGAGTGCACGGAATAAACCGCAGAATAAACGAAAAATCCATAAATATTCCAAGTGAATTTCTCTATTTGGTAGTCTTTTGTACAGCAAACACCTATATTGTGACAATACAACCGATTTGTTATACTTCCCTACTTCTTGTGGTCCGTTTATTCACGACTGCTTGTTGTCTCAGTGTGTGTGTTTTATTTCGTCTGCTTACTGACAACCGATTCACATTGTGCTTCTTGGTAACTGTGTTAAAATTTTGGATGATTCTCATCGGAAGCAATCAGCCACCGGGACTCATATATCCTGTCCAATTTAGAATAGAGTCTAATTTACTTGGTAACTGTCCACGACTCAAATTAAGTTTCGCTCATTCCTCTTGTGAAAAGATGAGCCAGTTCCATGGCTGTTGCGGGTTGTTTTTACGTACGCTCGGCGACTAACAGAAACATCTGTGCCAGCTGTCAATGCGCTGGAGCATATAGACGAATGTATGGGGATAGGATGTTTTCTATGCCCGGACCCAATCAATCTTCAATATAAGGGAAGCGGGATAACCATAAAGACTTCTCTGCCTGATGGGCGTGTTCGACCGTCCTCGCCACTGTGTGACTTCAAGAACGATAATGTGTGTGTGATAAGGTGTCACCCTTCAGTGTAACCCCTATAGTGTTGTTTGCCCGGAACTGTCGGTTCTTGTGGAATTCGGTACGTCCTTCCTGGTTCGGATGACCAGATACAAACTTTTTATGAACGGTAAGCACACAAGAGTATGTTGCTTCAGAAACAAACTTTTTGAAATGGGAAGTGTCTCTGTGGTTTAGGAAAGTTTGTGCGTATCTAAACATAGGGCATACAACGTCATTCTGTCCACTGTCACTGGAGCTCTTTCAGGAGCCAAGAAGAACCAATTTGCCAATAGTGTTATTCCTGTTTCTGTCGTATGTCTTGTTCCACAGCACAGACTTTGCCTGCAGGCTTTTTTAGATTCACTGGGTTTCTTCGTTGATGTGGATATCCAGCGCTTTCCTCATCATCATAATTCAAACTTTATCCATTCACACTTTTGTTTCAGTCGCTATGATTTCGCAAACAGCGGTGGCTACTTTGCTGTGTGTCCTAACCAGCTTTCTCCAGGTCACAGGGGACACAGAACTCCAATCAAGGGACCTAAACTGTGATGTTTCTGGACAGGGGTTTCATTTGAATTTACACTGTGACTTACGTGGACCGGCTTCGAGCCAGTGGAGTACATGTGTGCTCAAAATGCGCTTGCCACGCGGTGAGTTTATCCACTATATAGTTTCGTTTACTGCGAGAGTTTAAAAATGGATAGGTTACTTGTAAAGCGTGGAAGTCTCACTCTGAATTGTGTGGTGAAATTCCGTCCTCCAAAAAACACGAATGTTCTGCACAGTGCTTCGTCTTCTTGTCTGCTTTATACACAACACTTTCTAAACGTTTCCGCTGCTAAACCATGACGAGACTTTATTGTTCAGTTCCAGTATCCCGTCCGCATCACTTGTTGTCCGGTTTCGAGCCATTGGATAATTGGATGGACAGATGTGAACGCTTTGTCGGAATGTATACGAACAACACTATATCAGCCAAAACTAAAGACTATCCGTATGAGTGAGAGCTTCTGTTGGGGATCGGTATCTATCTTCCACCATAGCTATCATCAAGCCACAATGCTACCGCACCTAATACGCAGTATACATGTCTCAAAAAACAGTCTATTCCATTCCTGTATGTCCCCTATGTTTTTAGTTGTGGACCATCCCTTCAAAACAATTGTTACTTTTTCGTTGGTCTGGCGACTATAGTCCTGGCGTGGATACGTCCCGATCATGAAAGAAAGCGGTTTTCGCTCGAGGATTCAGGATCACGACGGTTGACCACCAATCGGTTTATGGGTTGTTTATTCCTATTCGTAGGAATCTCCCATTCACCTCTTGTGTTTTCTCGTTACTCGCTTGATCCTTGCTTATCAAACTAACTCTTTTCGTTGTTCTATGTAATACATAACGTTACAGTTACAGATTTTCTTCATTTCCCTACAGGTTTATATGTAGATCCGTATGAATTGGGCATACGACAACCGGCCCTAAACTTCTCTTTATCGAAACCGAAGTCATCCGGTTCTTCGGGCGGTCGATTTGGACGATGGCTGTCTTGGTTCACAGCATCTGACCCTCATGAGTCCGGTCACGGCTCCTTCGATCAGTTTGAAGAAGCCGAAGTTCCAATGAACCAAAGCGAGGTCAATGTTGAAAGTCCTGAGTGGTTGGCTGAGCCCATGACTATCAACCTCTACCCACAGCAATCGACCGCAAAAGATATGGACGGTCTGTCCCTGAATAGCGTCGATATTCCTCTCCATCTTCGTTATAAGTCAGTTTCAAAATTTTTGTACACTGATTTCTCTGGTGCTCGTTGCGTATAATTAGAAAATGTCCAACATGAGGAATGCACTGGTAATCTGGATGTAATACTGGTATTGGGCGGTCCCGAATAGGACCAATCCACCCACATGAAGTGTACGGAAAAGGAGATGCTGAAACCGGAAGGTGAATCAGCGGTTATTTAATACGTACGAGAAGATTGATTGTACATGGACGACAAACGACCAGCCGGAGCGTTGACAGACGGTCAAGGTCAGTTTGCAGGGTTGGCAGTCGCAGAAACAGGCAGCAGTGCGATTGGGTATGTGGACTGGTGAGCACAAGAATGTAGATAAAGGGGAGAGCCTAAACCGAAGAACATGGGAATAAGTTTGACATATGATGGACAATGGTGTTCAGGCCAGCATTGATGGCAAAAACCTGGATGACGCCACAGATCGTCTACCTCCAAAGACCGTACCTCGCAACCGCACTGTAGCCTGGTACACGCGAATATCGAGATGCGGCAGGTGACTCAAAGTGGCAAACAAGACTCGAGCCACTGAGATTCTTGAGTGGACTTATCCTGATTGCTTCACGCTGTGAACACTAATGATGGTTAATTAGACCGGATTTCTGAGTTGACCATTTCGGGGTGTGTAAGTGGACGCGCAGAAGTGATCACCAAGGGTGACGCGAGGCTACCAAAGCTGTCAGTTCGAATAGTGGAACTCTCATGGCGAGTACTCACGAAGGAGTGGAGTATTGGAGTAAGAGGGGATTCGGGAAAACGTAAGAACGAAGTGCTCTAGCTTGCATTCCATATAAAGGCGTTCGTTTCAACAGTACTCCACTGCCGTCTATTCACCTTACGAATGAGTTGGTTCTTTTTGAGCGATTTCGGGAATCAAGAGCACCGGCACTGCATCCGTTTACCGATTTCATAACTTTATTGACGCAGTAGCGTTATCCTCCTACTTCAGCTTGTTTTCGTGCTTAAAATAAAGCGTCGTGTAGTGAACCAGTTGGAGGCAGTCGACGTCCTTAGCCTAACCGTATTTTTGCTTGTATGCACCAGTGGTTTGAATTGTGTATATACGTGAAACTCACTCATTTGCACACCAGTCTGGTTTTCACAGACTGATCAGCTGAATCCCGGCTGAAGGTGCTGCTTAAAAGGGCTCTTTTTTCAGTTGGTGCGATATTCGAGATATCGCAGTGTATTTTCTTGAGGGAAACTACTCATAGGACTGTCAAGCCCATCAGCAGAATCTCTTTTTGGAGCCCCAAGAAGGCCGAGGCCGGTCGTGGGCTGTGGAAGAGTTTTCAGCGACTTTGTAAGTAGTTTCCTTTATGACAAAGGATCTCTTTCTCTTTCAGGCACCTTTCAAACTATCGGTTTCCTCTCTACCGACCCCCTTTCAGGTTACCCAATGATGGAGATGACTCTAGCACCTCACTGCAGTCAACAACTCTTCCATATCCCATGCTGAAATGTACCGATGGAGATGAAGTAAACAGCTGGGACAGCATGCCGCCTTTCGAAGTAGCTGTTGCGACCCCGCCCACCAGCGACTTATTGTATGTCATGCCGATCACAATCTTGCTACTTACGGTTGGAGTTGTGGTTTTGTTGCTCGCTTAACCTACCAATAACGAAAACTACGGTTTTCGTTGGCAGCAACTCAGGCATTCCAGTCTCACTTGTACATTTCTTTTTTTGTTGGATAGTCTTCGACTATTTTTCCTGTTGCACTGTAGGACACAGAAAACTTGTTACTTTTCGCTAGGTTTTATCCTGAACTATTTTCGTTTTCTCCCACACCCTATGCAATACATGTCTCGTTAGCACGCACAGTCTTTTTTGGATTGCATTTCGATTGAGTGCCTACTGATTTATTGACTTTGTTCTGGTGAAAACCTTTCACTGATTGTTCCCGTAACCGGATCCTTGTCGTAGTTCCATCCTCAAATTATTTATTGCTTGCCTGAATCGCTCATTTACTTGCGGACGGTGCGTAATCATATGACCAGGGAGCGTTGCGAATCAGCCATATCATTTCTATTGGACGGTCTTTAGCTGAATCGGTAGCTCACTCTATTGGAACCGACGACCAATATATCGAAGGTATCCCCTGTTTGTAGTGTGGAAAGACTATCCTAGTATCACTGACAGCTAACTAAGTAGTCCCATAATTCGACCAACCTCTTTTCTCACTCTACTAACGGTCTGTACGTATGTCGACTAAATCACTCTCGCGTGCGTAGCTAGTGCAAAAGTGAAGCTTGAATGAAGCTACTTTGCAGCCCTCTTTTGTTGAACTCCTCAACGGAACGGAACTCACAGCAAATTGTCCGAGGCTTTTGCTATTTTCCTCATGTTAGGTACCTTTATTTATTCACCTATTGTTTCACTGGTACATCAATGCTGCTGTCGTTGGATATAACCTGGAGTGGGGTATGGGGCATTTGCCTTGTGTACATGACTGCATACTAGTCACTACCGCTTTGATACAGAGTCATATCTCAAACTGCGATCCCTGTGGTGACAATTCAGTTCATCCAGCCATCGACAACTTAAGGGACTCCGGTAACACATTTGTGTAGTAACCATTGCACGTGGTTTGAATCCATTACTGACTTTCAGCAGCCCTCTATTTTTTAGGTGTAATGTCTTACCGTCCGACAGTCTGCAAGGTTAGCCCTGATGTTTCATCCTTCCGGGAGTGATATTGCTAATCTACTTTACAACAGACGTTGCATTGTATTTGCTACTTTTCACATCAGAACATCGGTGAACATGAGGTTGAGTCCGGTTCTCAGTGCAAATTAAGGTTACTAGTGTGAAGAAATTTGAGAAGTAATCGAGATTTTGTCTTGTAAGTGAAACCAGTCTCTGCTGAAAACCCGAGAAGCACTTTGTAGTTGTCTACTTCTCTGTTAGTAATCATTAGTCGTGCGCGTCTCACGAAACCCTATCGTTCGAGACCTCTCGGATGACTTATCTGTACGATGCTACTCGGTTTTTCAGCATAGACGCAATCTCGACCAAGGATTGCATACTGCCAGTGTATCCGTCGCGTTATGTGAAGTTTGGTAGGAGTTGGTAGCAGGGCGATTTCCGACTGGTTGACTCCACTCAACGAAAACTTGGTATACTATTTCACCAATAGGGGGATCATTTCATCCTCTCGTTTGAATAGCCTCTATTCACATGCTTATTCTGAGGTACCACTAGACTCGAATTCGCTATTATTAATGCGTACCTGTGCCTGGCCGTGCCGAGATTCGAGTCCTGGTCATCTGAAATGCGATAAGAGCGTGTCATCATCTCTTTACCAGCGCTCGCCGAATAACTCCGAACTACCGCGTCTCAAGAGACTCGAATGCCTCTTCTTGGGTCATTTGTGTTGTGCCGGATGCGTGACAAGCAATAAACGGACTACCAACTTAGGAATAAGTTGGTATGAAAACGTGTTCTTCCAATGTTCTTAGGCTAACTAATGCTATTGCACTGTTTTGTTCATCTGATATCTGTTCCTGTAATGAGTAATGTGGAATATCTGTCAGCCTACTCTGTAACAATGCTGACTGTACTATGCAACGCTGTTTTTTTATTTTCAGCATATCAATGAACAAAGTTGGATAAGTGATTCCGAACTATTGTCAGTGTCGGATTGTTTACTCTGATCATGAGCGAAAAAGACTGTTCAGGTGCTACACTGGACCTATTAAGGTAACCTGTGCGAGTTTAACTCATCAATTTGTAATCTACCAGAGTTGAAAGTCATGAGAACTCAGGAAAACGCAAATTCGTTCCTAATTTAAAGAAGGCACTTAACAAGCAAGTTCTTACCGATTCCAGGTTAGTTCCATTCAGACTGTGTGGGGAATTAATAACTGTGCGCTGCACATTCTAGCTAATAATGCATTTCTAGGTTGAGCTATTTCCATTGTGATCGGTATCCGTACATTTTATTGTCCGCTTTCTCGAGGCATAATAATTTCATTGCAGTTCATCTTGGTTTGAGCTCATCAAGTTAGTAGCGGAAGGGAACATCACATGGTCAATGACCACACACAAATCGAAGAGGTCCTGTAGTTTGATATGATTTGTTTCTCACATTGTTCCCGACCTTTCTGTGACCTTTCTGAGAACCTAGGAGCCTGAGTTGCAACCAGACATTTTATATAAGGTGGATCGTGTAATCGTTTTATGCTTGAGCACCTCCGAAGTTATCAATTTTGAAGAAAAATGGGGTGTTTGGATATTCCAATCCACATTTCGGGTGAATATCCAGACCAGTTACGTTTACTATGGGCGAGATGTCTCAAGTGGTTAGAGCGCGAGTTTACTGGTCGGAAGGTTCCCCTCTTCGAACCCGACATCCGCCTCTCGACTTCCTCTGTCTAGGCCTGGGCAACCTGGAATTTTAGGCCTGGGCAACCTGGCATTATCCCACCCCTCGTGCTTCCTTCGGGTAGCATGGCAGCTGGGCATCGGAAGGGTGCTACAGCTGAAGGATTTTTTTACTATGGCGAAACATCGTTGTTCCATGTCTATTCGTCCACCGTAACCATTAATCTTTTCTTGTGGGTCGCACTTCAGCGAGTGGATTCGTCCGCCACACCTGATCGCAGTCTATTGAAATGTGGTAGATTTTATTATTAATGTGACACTGGGATTCAAGAATAGCGGACAGGCAGTGCGAAATTCATTTAAATCCCTTAAGCTGGAATTTCAAACAATTTCGCCTCTTCCAGTTAATTGGAAAGCGTCTAAGCCTACAGAGAGGTCTTCCTTCCGGAAAGGTCTAAAAACAATCGGTGGATCTGTCTCTCAGGTTTATCTAGTCTAGCAATGAACCTACCGATTGTTTCTTAAACTTTCTCGTTTGATCCAAATTACTCGTCATAAAAACTAGTGAGGTGAGTAGCTGGTCCAGGTAAAATTATTGTTAACTAGTGGCCATCGAATCTTGCAAATTGCCACACTGGTCAAAATACTCAATGCTAGTTGAAGCGTCAGGGAACTCCTTTGATCAAAGATTCATGCATTATCTTCGTATATCCATACATAGCCGACTATCCTCCTAAGTAACTGAGCTTGCTAAACCTGATGCAGAATAAATACTGTGTACACATCAGTCGAAGCTCGTACGTTAAATGTTAGTTCGCTTGATTTAACTGAAGCGAATAGGAATATGAAATAGGCATAATTCAGTGGTCTGTTTAATTCTGGTGCACTTGGGTAAAGCAGGCCATTGTTGTCGAAAGCCTGCCGTCAAAAACAGTGAAGTGATGTTTGGCAGCGAAAGGAGTTGCAAAGGGTTTCAGATTGAGCCTCCTACCGCGATGCGCTTCTGCGTTCGGCTAACAGCAGGTTTAGTTGCAACTGGTGAGCTGGTTGAACCAGATCAGACAGCGTGAATGCTGTTCTGGTCTGCAGGGAAATTTTGTCGTAAGCGACTGTCCCATTATTTATAAGCACTTGTATGCGCATTACTCCTGTTCTGAACAGTCCTTCCCCTGACCTAGCACAATGATCATGATGAGTCCACACCAAAGTTTTTCTGTTATGAGAGCACGCAGTCTCGGCTGTGTCGGACTTGAACTCTGCGCTTATAAGGCCACTCAACTACTTCACCGAAGGTGCAAATATCAGGGTCCGTCCGTGTACGCTCGTGCAACAGTGGTGATAGACTCTTCTTCCCTGTCAGCATCCCAGAGTTCTGATCTGGGAGCGGCCAAGGATATGGACTCCTGAAGATGCATATAGAATCGGAATTCGAGTACAGAGTCTTTCCATTTATGTGGATTATTCAGGATAATCTTAGTAGAGTAGAATAGGATCTGTTTCATTCAGGGGAATCTGAATGTAACTCGAGCTTTGGTTTACCAACCGGTTTTTTGATATTTTATACTGACAAGCTGGTTAGCTGACACTGCCTGATGTGAATCAGATTACTGCTTGAATCACTGTATGTTTTTCAAATTAGAAGCAAATCGATGCGTTTACATCACTCTGATTTGAACGGTCCTCTTCCTGGTGGCTCTACACCAAGAGGAGAAAGAACCACTGGCCTCGATTTCCTCTCCTGTTAGACCTTATCAGCATTGCAAATGCTTGATCATGCCGGGATTTCAACCCCCGACATCCGATACTTACAACTGGTGTCAAGCGTCCTATTGTGTTATCTGAGTGAGCTGTCCTGGCAGGCGAGTCAGTCTATCGACACAACCAAGATAGTTAATAGATTCAAGGCATTTGCATCAATCTTGAATACGTTGGCTTGTTCAGACGTGCTAATTTGGGTGCGCCCAGCATGCGTTGGTGGACTAGTAGAAATACGCTCGCCTTATATGTCAGATGCCTGGAATTCAAATCCCCTTCACAACCAGAAATATACACTGCTGACGATCTCTGATAAGAGTGAGTCTCATGACCAACCCCCCCTTTGCTGGGATCTCACCATAGTAGTTGTGTCAGAACAGGGGGAGGACTGGGCAGATGAGAGTGATTTGAAGATTGGTTCTACAAATCCGGTAACCACCTACAACTAATCGAGCGTCCATAGCGCTACCTGACTGGGAAATGCAGACAGGCAAGTCAAGCAGGACAGTTAGTGGGTCGACGTTTGAGGCCAAGGTAAACAGTTCTGTGGAGGCGCCGTCAGTGACATCACCTTGATGTTCATTCTGAATCACAGATTTGCTATTAGTCATCGTGTCTTGACCTTGTTCTGTTTAGATTAATGTAGCGGGTGAAATGAGGTCAGGGTCACAGGCGAAATTATGGCCAATCATGCAGTAGCCGTCATGTTTGAGCGGTATGTTTTAGATTTGAACTGTTTCTTGCTCGATTACTGAAGGTTCCTACCAGCACGGAGACTTTGTATTGCTGGAAAAGCCAGGACGCAAAAATATTTCCTTCAAACTTCCTTTTCTTCATGGAGGTTTCTTGTACGGAGGTGGGGCTGTACTACTACCTTGATATAAACAGTCGGATTAAAAAAAATCATCTTGGAATTCCCATCCAATTTAGAGCTCCCGTCCATTCAGAGCTCCATTTATCTTCTATTCACGTAACTGTTGGTGTGCCATCGTAGCGTGCTAAGAACCAGCTCCTATCAATGTCTAGAGTCGTTGACAAGATCTTGCAAGTGTAGAAGCTTTCCAAATAGTTGAACGTTGTCACAATTACCGTCCTCTTTTATTATAGATATGGTCTTGTGATAACACGGTTTATCGGAGTTTGCCTTGAGCGCATGTTGTTTGTTATTAAGGGATTTGTCACGTCATTTTGTTTTCATACGTATGTGTTTCAATAAAGGCCTTCGAAATCAACACGCGGAGACCGAAATCCAAGTGATCAACCGACCCACCGTTCGGCGCGTTTTGGCCGCGGTGCTGGGCAACAGACACAACGGCGAGATGAGAAACCACAGTTTGTTCAGAGCTATTCAATCTTCGAAACAGGCATTGGTTGCGTTGTAAAGACGGACAAAAATGCGGTCGAACTTAGTGAGTCACTTCGACCGCCTCGGGAGTGGCCTGTAATCTTTGTTTCTTTGTTTGTTTGGGTGCTCTGACATTTGCCGGTTTGTGCTTTCTGGAATGTCATTTCGACTCCCACTTATTTACTGCCTCTACTTCTTTGGCTGGGTTGAATTCGACAAAATGTTGGGAAGAACTGCTAAATTCTTAGCTTCGATTGATTGGATGCTCGTTGATAGTCGCCTCTGCGCGGTTCGTTTGAAAAGGTCTGTAAAAGAATCTAGAGGAAGTGAGGTTCATCGCATTGTTCATTTTATCCCAACTGACTGTAAGTCTGAAGTTGCCAAAACAGTTCCTATAACGCTCTAGGCGCTCTTTTTCAACGGGATTAAAGTTCAGGCATCGTTGTGGTTGCTGGTGGCATGAACGCCCACATATATAGACCAAGTGCTGCTGAGACCCGATTGGATGGTCGTCTTGGATTGCACACGAGACGCGCGGACGATGGAGTTCGCGCGCTTCATATGTATGTTAATCCTTTTTGCTACACGAATTTCCGCACCCGAAAGGGTCCTCGGAAGCCTGTTGTCAGAGGAGTTATCAGAGACGAGAATCGCTCCTTGATATCCACCAAGCAGAACTTTTGAACCGCTGGTCACAATATTTCGAATAGCAGTTCAATTAGTCACCCGCTACTCCAAATCCGGGAACTGTGCCTTCAGTCTTTCAAGTGTCCGAGTGCATATCTTTGTTCAGGCGTCATCGTGCTGCTGGTCCTGTTGATCTTCCACCTGCTCTGTTCAAGGACTGTGATGGGTTTCTCGGTCAGTGCCTGTCTAGCCTGTTTGGGTCTATCTCGGAGAAACAGACCGTCCCAGACATCTGGGATGAATCGATAATGTTGCCCGCTTTCAAAAAGGTTTCTCACAATGAATACAGTAACCACAGATCCCTTCGCTCACCCACTTTCTCTCTTCTTTTCACTCCGAGGCTTTAAATATAATTACATGGGTTTAATGGTTGTATGACAGTGTCAACACTGACGTTGTCTATGACTGACTGTGATGAGCTCTGTGGAATCGTATGCCATGCATAATTCAGTTTCATCGTATCCCAGGCGACATTGATTCATAGTTGTTGATAGTTTCAGCACATTTCTATGTTGACCATTTTATTTAGTGTGCATTTCTTTCACCATCTGTGATTCTTGAAACTGAACTTCCTTACATCAGTATTCGATGGTTTTTTTCCTCATTGGCAGGAGAATCTCGACCGTCCTCTGATTCGGTCTGTCGAACCGAACATCAGGAGGTGGACGAAACCGAATTGAAAGAAGATCCGTTGGAAAATTATCAGTCTTTTGTGACCGATATTAAGCAGGTTTTCAAAGACCCTCCTGTTCTTATGCATGATTCCGCTGCTGGCACCCAAATTCCTCCAGGTGGGTATCGAATTTAGCCACTTTAGAACCGTATTGTTTGTTCACCTTTGGATGTGTGGTTGCTACTTCTTTTTTTACTGTTTCTCCCGTCAGATCCCCTGAAAGACCTGGATCTGTCTGGCGGAAGGAACCATCGTGTACCTTATGACTTTTTCACCGATTCTGGACCGGGTCGATTATTTATTCTACACTTACCGGACAAAATACTGCCCAGTGTGAGTCGTTGCAACACATGTAAACTGTGTACGAGGAAGATATTGCGAACAATTCTCCCCGTAGTATTTAATAATCGTATGATTGCAGTATCGAATTGCGTCCTGTACCTTCAGAGTTTCGGCTGGATCATGTAGGTCAGACGCTCTGCGGCCATTTTGAATGCATTAAGCCGTGCCTGACATCTGCACGCTCTGAAATAGTAGATGTCTTATGAAATTTGTAGCATATTATATCCTGCACTTCTGTGAGAGATTCGCAATACACTTTTGGCACCATGACTTATTTAGCGCCCCTGTCCCATTAGTTTCCCACATCACCCTGACTCACCCTGACTATCCGACACCTGTGAAACCAAAGCCACGAGAATGGCTAACATCTCAATTCTCTGGAGGTAAATTTCCTCACTTTGAATTCGGCGCACATCGCTGTAGTTAAGTAGCAGAGTTTGTGTGATACCAATCACGGAAGCCTGTTAAGGTAACAAACACAATCTAATCGCTTCTGTATGGAAAAAAAAATATTCCCGTCTCCCGTGGCTCATTTAGTGATTTTGGCTTGTTTGTGCGCATGAATCCGTGCAGCCCATAAATGACTGACTGACTGTAACGTGGCATAAAGTGGCGATGGTCAGCTCTCAGTATCGATGTGCTTTGTGCTTGCGTGAAGTGAGGTGAAAGATCCGTTTCCAATAACGGTATACTTCTGTGCTCCCTCGTAGCTCGGAACGGGGCCCACAATCATTACACTGCAGAAGTGACAAACCAGATACCAAGCTGCATCAGCGCCGCCACCCTCAAGGGACGGATACAGTATACATAGAAGATTCGACGTCCCATTACTGTAGTGCTGCAACTTTGCAATGAGTGCTGTGGTGGCTACAGATTGTTGACGATGGTTGTTACTACACTTTCGGACAGCTATATTCTGAAACAGGACTAGCCATCTCCAGAAATGTCTCAGATACATGTCACCCAGTCACGATCACTGGCTCTCGGACATGCATACTTCGATATCCAGTATCGACCCCAGTGACGGACTCCGTAAACGATTTGGCGACTGAATTGCTCCATGTCGCCCTTGACACGGCGCCAGATTTTCAGCGGTCCTCCGATGGCTCTGATGCACGGTCGCCACCCACTACGTGATTACGTCATCTCGGTCAGTGTTTCTCCGCTACTGGATCCGCATATGGGAGATGACAACACAAACCAGGTTTCCAGTTGGATTTCCCATGTTCAAACCATTGATTGATCGCCATTATAGCGTGGCTTTTTGCGAGGAGCTCGTTGCAACCAGTAGCAAGACTCCCAGCTTCCGCTGAATAAGTTCAGCTAATCACAGACTTGTTTTCATTGCTGTTGATCGTGGATTAAAAAATGGAAATTGGTTTACTGTTCTTATGGAACCGTGCTCCCTTCGGACACCTACCTGTTGCGGAGAAATGTTATTTAGGAAGCCAATCCGTAAAGTACATGAGACTAGGTTTTTTCGTAAGCTGTCGATTATGACCGGTGTTGTATGGTAAATCAAATTTTAACACAGTGGCGCTTGACAGGCATTATCTCCTGAGTAGTGCTCGGAAGTTGTGCTACTGTTGGCGTTGGTGGTGTGTGTATCCACTCCATTTCCTGACCGAAGTAAAGCAACGGTTTGGTACTTCTAGGCTGTCTGCTTCTACTATATCAATGTATTATAATTATAGTTAGTCCGGATACGAGGTTTTCAGGTTTATCATCCTGCTGTTGCTGCTGCTGCGTGCTTTTGTGACATTCTTTGTGGGTACTTCTCACTTAGTTGGATTTGTTTTTTATTCCGGACACGGGCAGATGTCACTTTTATTGTTGCGCATCTTGGAGAACGAAACGAAACCAGTGCATCATAGGTTTAGATTAAGCACATTTTCCGGAATGATTACGACGCAAAACCGGGGAGCTGTCTCTTCATATGACTCTTTGTTTCCTTTCAGGATTTGGAGCAGCTGGAGGAAGGTTGTTTTGGAAAGATTCAGGTTTTGGACAACCAACAAGTTCGCTTAGTTGTTGGCGAGGCTAGGTTTGACCTAATAAGCCCTCATGCACCCACGGCAAGCTCCGTAAGTTGTTCCATATTTTTGTATGCATTGGACTAGCTGACTGGCTTTACCAATGAACGCTGCCCACTGTTTTATAGTGTGTTTCACATTTCATCAAAGACGTCGGATTGTGAAAAGCTCAGCCATACGAACGATTTCGTTCTCATTGGATTTCAACAATTGGGGGAGCTGAAGCGTATTCCAGTTTTCAGACTCATCCTCGTCTGTTGACCAGTTTGCACAGCCTATAGATTTTATGTAATTAACATTTCGACGTGTGGGCCGAAGGGTAAGAGCGTGAGAGTTCCTCGTCAGAGGACCATCTTTTCTATCCCTTTTCGCCCATTAAGCAAGGACGGACTCCTATAACAGGTTTTCACGATCTAACTATCTCTTTGCCAAAATCTAATGTCAGATCCTAGTCCATCGTTTGGTAACTGTCAGGTACTCGCGGGGATCGACTAACAGAAAGCGTTCAGCTATGGTATCCTTTCGGTGCCTAGCTGCCATGCCATCCAAAGGAAGCACGAGGGATGGGGTACTGTCAGGTTGTCCAACCCTAAGCAGGAAAACTCGAAAGGCAGAGGTTGGGTTCGAACCGGTCAGTAAATTCGCGCCCCAACCACTGAGCCATTTCACCCCCGTTTAATTACTACACGAATAGATCACTCACTTTTCACCAGTGGTCAAAGAACTGAATAAACCAGCAGCTGATTCGAACCATGTCTCACACCCAGTGTCATATAACCGCTCTCTTTGTTATGATTTATCTGAAAATTTTATACCATTGTCTGTACTAGAGATAAATCTCAGGCACTACGTACTACAGCCCTCCAGTGATTGAGCATCATTCACTATACTATACTTTTGCTTAATTGTCAGGACGTAGTCCTTGTGGATCAACGTGGGGATGATTGCATCAGATTGAATTGTCTCGGTCACCTGGACGAAGCAATGGTTGCCGTACCAAATCTAGACGACTTTGTAGCTCTTGGACAATGAGCCTGTTGAAGACAACCTGCCTTCTGTATATTTGTTCTTTTGCAATACGAAACCCTGAACATGCCCCTGGCAACCGAACAGCTTATTTTGGCTTATTTTTTCAAATGTACTGAGCGCCGCCCTGACCCATCACTGTATTCTGTATGTGTAAATATACTCTAATTTGAATAGGATTGTTTTTAGCAAACCACGTGAGTACAACTCTGCCAAATTTGACCTAATCTGTCGTTTTTTCAGCTGAGTAAAATAGGATTGGTTCTCTATAGAGGAAAATGTCGTTAACTCAGGTAGCGTAGATGGTGGTCGTTGGCTTGTTCACTGAGCTGGGCAACTTGATTGCAACCACTAACCTACCGCTACGCACTACGACGCTTCCCAATAATGCACTGATGATGTCACCTCGATTGGTGATGAAACGTTTGCAATCAAATTGCCCAGCTCAGGGCTGCCGTTAGATTTCCTGCCTCTCTTTGTCGCCCGATAACTCAGGCCGCCAAGGATTACTTTCAGGGAACCCTTTTATGTATCATCATCGTGTTAAACGATTCCACCAGCTTCCTTAAGAAGTCTCCATAAACTTTAAAAGTGACCTTACAGAAATTGCGGCTTCTCGATCTAAGTATGATTCACCTAAATGACTAGCGCAACTTTCCGGATTTTCTTTGCCTCATGTTAAGCTTTCTTTGGATCACTTTCGCGTTCTTCTTATTAAATAAAGAGGAGTCTATAGAAATTTCATGAGGAATACCGGAGTATGTTACCACTACTAAATTCGGTTGACTTTCGTTTCCAAGGTTGAGAAATTCCGCTTCCCTTCACTCCTACTTTGGGCTTTTTTAACTTGTTCCTTATTTACTGGCTTCATAATTCAAACTGATATGCACCACTGAAACATCGTTGGAATTCAATTTTCACAGTTTATTGTCCGTAAAGGGAATAAAATCTTCTGAACGGAACCGGGAACGCGAAAATGAGACTATTGCTCGACATATTCGAAAAATCCGTGATTCGCACGGAGCGACTTTGTCACAACAGATTTCGGAGACAGCTCCTTAAGAAGTACATCACTTGAACAAACAGGCGGTCCGAGATAGCCTCAAACCAAAAGAATTGTAATTCATACGGTCTGAATAGATGAAATACGCTATTTGCCACCCATCGATGTGTCGAGCCAAGATACACCACAATCCAAACGTTACTTTTGCGACGCAGCTTATTGTTTCAGAATGTTATTATTACGTGGACTTGACCCTTAAATGATCCGCTAGGTGATAAGTAAAACAGCTTTCGTCTAACTGATAAATCCAGATTGTGTAGTAAGTTTGCCCCAAAGTAGTCTACCGAAGGATACCGAAAAGTGTAATTTCAATCATTGTCTGACATAAGTAGTTTGGAGGGTCGTAGTCTGTCCAATTTCAAGAAAGATTTGACTGAATATTCAGTTGTTGCATCATTTTGCTGAAAGATGAATCGGTTGTTTCAGAATGGCTTGGTAGATAATCGGTAGATTTTAACTAGACAAAGTTTCGCTTTTGACACAAAGGCTTCATCAAGCCAAATGAGCAGGCCACCGATTTGGCCAGTTATTAAGGCGGAGAACTAATCAGTAAGACCTCTTCGGATTTGCGCACCAGATCAGTGTTAATTTTAATAAGGGGGTCTTGTCGGTTGTGGTTGACTAAATCAGGGCGCGTTTGCTTTTAAGGTTTGAGTGAGGGGGACATCGATTCGTACCTAGTTCGGTGTGCCCATTGGAGCTTGACTCAGGTTTTCACTCGTGAACCGTGTTTGATTGTTTAGTTTCCAATGCGTATGGTATTTCAATGCGTTTCGCAAAGTCTTGTCCGTAAGGAGAACGATCAAATAGCAATGAAATGAATACATCTGCTCATTACATCGTAGTAGCACTCCGTTCTCATCATTGCGAGCTTGGCGTGTGGCCGCGGATAAGCTTCGCTGATCTATTCCGGATGGTTAGTGACAGCTTGTTATCCACTGTTATCGGTTATCTTGTATTTTTTGGTTTTCCGTCCACATACAGACAAGGGGGCTATGAGATTCCACGGCACTCTGTAGGACTAACTGCTTTCCGTAGTAAATTGTCATGTCCTGTTCCCCTGGCCCTTCTAAAGGGTTTGAAATGAAAAAAACCTTTGTGTTGGAGAGACTTTGTTTATATGTGCGCGTCAGTGTCCCAGTTGCCCTCGTTTGCTGTGGGCAGTAAGATGAAAATAGAGCTGGAGGTCAGTTGTATGTGATTAACGACTGAGCTGTGCCAACCGGTTACGATTGTATAACTGAAAATCGTCCGTCGCCTTGAAGAGGCCGCTCATCTGTTGTAAGCTGTTGTAAGACTGAGCTTTTTGTAACGAGTGCTTCCCTTTCCAATTCCTACGTGAACCTCTTATTTCGTTTTAGCCGGACGCAACATGAAACACAAAAAGAATAAGTAAGCTTGTTGCTTACTCTTCTGTCATTTTGACTCAGGAGTTTAAAAACCTATGAGGCGAATCGCAGACAAATTCTTCTTGAAGACAATGAAAACGAAGATAAGGTTATCAAACGTCTTGAGAAGCGGTTGGGAATAAACAGGCGACCTAAAATTAAGAAGGCCGTCCATCCTTTGTGGATGCGTCAATGTGGATTCGATTGTGAGCAGAACTTATTTCAAATTTACGCTACTTAGATCTACTCGACTTTGAGAAGGAGGTGGAAAATTCTTCAAAAGTTCACGAAACAAAGCCTCTCGGTCAGACACGTACCAAGCGACACAAATCCAGTAAGCTTGCCATCCCAGCGCTAATTTACTTTTATTTCAGAACAAGTCAACCTGTATGGTCAACAAACAGCTGCCAGCTGTGATGAGGAGAAGTGTACAGAAACAACTTCAAGTAACCAGCATCCTACTAAAACTTCCAGTAGCTGTACGTGAATCGAATCTTTTTACTAATGAATCACAGGTCTTGATTCTCCGCCAGATATAGTGGTCCCTGAAGGTCGACCAATGACAGACTCGTCAAATGAATCTCTGAGGAAGACCATCCGCAGTTGGATTAATCGAATTAGTGAAGCTCATATGGCTCGCGTCGTTGCCGAGCTGACCAAACTATTCAGCGAAAATCCGCGTGCGACGGTAAGAAGTCTGCTTATCGATGAAGTGTGCACGCTCCTGGAGGTTAGTGTTATGTTGAACTGCACTGATGATTTAGTCTGTGCCAATCAGTACCGGTTCCAAAGAGGGATGGCTGCAGCTGGACCTATCCGTTTGTGTTGCGTGTATACATGCTTGCCTGCACGCCAGACTCCAGCATGATAACCTGATTGCCTATCTCGTGGAGAGCTTGGTGGACAAGATATCTCTTAGAAAACAATCCCCGGTTTCAACGAACGTGTTGAGTTCGTTTGGTTTGTTTCTCTGTTCTTTATTTCATTTTGGAGTGAGTCACCCATATGTATTCTAATTGCTGTCTTCGTAGGTTCTTTCTTCGAAAATTGTATTTGATCTCCTCGGTGAGTTCTTAGAGGAAGGCTCTCTCCCCACATGTAAGGCGTCGCACGTCATCTGTACAGGTAAGGACTGGAAGTAAATTTTGGGGTACAACCTTGTCTTCGTGTATCCGGATTCCATATTTCATGAATAGGAGAGCTGTCTTTGCATTGCAGGTAGTTTAACAAATGTGTCCGAGACCGGTGACTAAGCGTCTCCCTTGTCCTACCATCATACGGTACCTCTGTTCGTTTTGCGGCTAATGTCACAGAGATCAGATCAGGCGTATAGTGAAAAACACTAATATGCTTTTGATCGAAGTTCTAAGAATGGTCTGGGTTCTTTAGAGGATATGGGTAGGTCATTAGCTTTCACAGTTTCTTGTGACACTGCGGAGACCGTCTTTGCTATTGATATAGCAAAGCAGTGATTTTCGTCATTGCTTTTTAGCAGAAAATTTTGGCCAATATATTTTGAAATGTTTCAGCCGGTTCATAACATTCATGAACTCGAAAAAACAGATCCACTTATCTGGTTTTATTAAGATCATTTTGTTTAGACGATTCAGAACTATTCGAAACACCCATTGCGCTTTCAAGATATTTCGGCTGTGTTCCCGGAAACGCTCTCCGACATTATTTGGTGCACTGACATTCCGCCTTCAGAACAGCAAGAAAGTGTCACTCAACCGGATTTGATCACTTGAATTTGACTGGTCAGTAGGTCAATGGTGTGAAACTTTGCGGAAAGTTTTGCAACTTTTGGCGGGTTCGTAATATTATTTCGAAAAAGTAATGCAAACTACTTTGTGGATAAGATTACATTGGTTCATGACACCTGTCGGTTACAAATGCTCGTTCTGCATGTCTTGTAACCGCGTTTTCACCATTGGATCCGGACTCCATATTTTAACTAACAACTCTGTGGTGGTTTTTCTGCTCTCGTAGGCAGTCCGAATCGCACTCAAGTTAGTCAACAAAGCTTCTGTGTATCGACTGCATCGTAATGGTAGGTCCCAACCTGCATGAACACTTTATGTCAAGTCATGCGTGCACTGCCAACAAATATCAGCAGATTTGTTGTTTTTTCTCGCATAGTGGACCGTCGCATCTACATGTATGTCATCAGCAACTCAAAGACGGTTCAGTCTAGTTTCTCAGCTACGGACCATGTACAAAGGAAACGTCAGTCAAAAATGCTACACTTTCGGTCATCGGAAAATTGGAGAACGGGAAGATATTTGAAAGCATTTAAGGCAGTGGAGTAGTCAGTTCGGTCTGGTCTGGGCAGCTACGGGTTAAAGGCGGTATCTTTGCTGCAACAGCGCCATTGACTGCATGATTGCGTCTTGTTTCCCAGTGTCATTAACTACTAGTAAGTTGAATCCCGGGTCTCAATCAGAGCGGTGTTAGCTTACTGGTTATTGCTTTCATGGTTCGTCCATCGATCGGGCGCTCCTAGTGAGTAGTGTTTTGGTGGCTTTGATAACATAGGTGATCGTTAGTTTGTCCGATGAGGTAGGCATCCTGATAGCAAACACGTCGTCACTTATCGGGGTGAAATCAGCGTGCAGCTGTGAAGCGGAGGATAGCAGTCCGTCACCGACGCGCTGCTGATATCAACTGGTGAAGCATTTGAAACCGGATTGCGTAGGTCAGCGAACATACTGCCGACCAGAGACGTGTCCGTGAGTCTACACACTGTCAGGTGGTTCCAGTAGACGAAGAGGACTGTTGATCCCTCATAGAAATCATCTTAGGTTGCTGCGGAGAATTCAGGCTACTCCGTGTTTGCCTACGCTGTCGTCCAGAATGTTTTGTCATGGACGTCATCATGAACGATGAAGTTGTATTGACAGCAAAGAGACTGATTTGGAGATAGTTAGAGACTGAGATTGATAGACCTCGATTATGCGGGCGACGTTATCTTGTTGTTTGGTTGCTATCCGTCCGTATAAACCATTCTAAACAAAGCATCGATTGTGGCCGGTTTCGGAACATGAGTTTTACGACTTCTGGATTTTGCACGATTTCATTTATGTATGAAACTTTTGAATGAGAAGTTTGAGTTTGTTGGCTCTTCCACATATCTCGACAGCTGCGTAAGCCGAACCTTAGGTCCCTTCAGCGTTTGATCATAGGTACCTCTATAATATAAGAAGAATTAGCTGGCTACATCGTGTACTTAACGGAGCTTGGTTGCATACTCAAGTCGTTAAAATATCAAATACTGTTTATCAGGTTAAGGAGGTTCGGACATGTACCATGCGTGTCCAACTACCGTCTGTCATAGAAGACGTTTTTCCTTTTCCAAATCGTTGTTAGCGAAAGGCTCGGGTGGGGACACATTATGACGCGGAAAGCTGAGATGAAAGCAACTAAAACCAAACTGAGTGCTGTTAGATTTTCGCAAATTTCTGGCTGGAGCCCATGTGTTCCCTTCGTACGTGGCTATAGACCCCCGTAGGACAAGACATGCGACCGATCTCAGTGGCGCGTATGTCATAATTTATTGGTCCGATCATCTGGCTAAACTTCGTCTTTGGTGTGCTGGTTTGCGTTTGAGGTTTGCAAATCACACTGGATTGGTACATAGGACATAGGACTTTTTTCCACTGCTTCGGAGATTTGAAAATTTCAATCGAGATTTCTTTCTGCAAGTGAAGCATTGTACAACTGTTTCATCCTTATTAAAAATTATCAGGAGTGTGCGTCCCAGGAACGCTTCTTGCGTTGTGATTTCCAGACGATATTCATCTTGGATGAGTTACTTTATCATCAGTTCTGATGGTGGGCTATTCGCAGCTTTTGAATTGGCAATCATAATTCGAACAGAAACACTTCAACATTATAACTAGTGCGTCAGGGCACTATGGATTTCCGAGCCACCTCGAAGAGCATTATTGCACTCCCGTTATTATTATTATTACACTCCCGTTGACCCCGGACCACATTGCAGTCCCAAGTCAACCACGGATATATCGTTGAACAACGCGATTAGTGCGGAAGACCATACAATCACGCGTTCCCTTCCGGCTGGGACTCATCCATTGGATGTGAGCTTCGCGCTGTTTTTGGACAGCGCTGCACATAATGTAAATATGCATGGCGAAAAAAGCAAGAGCGTGGTAATTGCTCGAAACCAATCAAATCTGGATTAATTTTGGATGTGGCTACAACGGAATGAGTGGGTTTAACACGAGTAGCACATGAATGTCGTCGTGAGAAAACTAATAAAAAAACCACTAACATCAAGCACTGACACGAAGGAGATCTTTCGATTCTGGAGAAAACTCTTGTCTTCCGTTCCTCGTCATTTTTGTTCCGCTGTGTCCAATGGTCAAGGACTTCGTAGAATAAGTCTCTCACATCAATTGCACGATGGCACGGGTGACTTCATAGCGTTGAGTAGCCATAGCCCAGTGATGCTACGAAGTAACCATATAACTAAGTGGACAGCTGTTTGAGTGTGCTGTTGCAGATCCCTCCATGAAAGCATTCTCTTAATAGACTTGTGATTTACGACATTATGAATGCCATACATGTTCGAAGTTCTCATCGCTGGGATCTTTAGGAATAACCACCACTATTCACCTTGTTACTTTTGTTTTTTTTCATCTGTTTCTTATGACCGTTGTTGCCAAATCACTTCTTCAGCCGTTGGGGTTCACTTGCGAAAAGCCGATTTCTCTGCTTGTCAGAATCTAATTCAAATCGCAACAAAACACCTGACTTCATCCACCGGTCCGGAACAAGTGGATTTGATGTAGGTTCGGTTCTTATCTGATCTTACCTCTCCACTTCGTAGATGCGAGCTAGAAGGTGTAATCCGTCGGTTATCGGAGAAGCACTCTAAGGAGGAATGTGTTACTAGAGCGTTGCATTTGAAGAAGATGATGCGTTCGTGGATGAAGGGTAAGTATGATAGCGTTCTAGAATGCATTCTCTTCGTGAAAACTAAGGTTTGCATGAATATCGTATGCTTCGCTGAAAACATGTCCCAAGATTCATCAGGCAACGAAGTTTAAAAACCGAATAATTTAATTGGTTAAGTGAACCTTGCATTTGTTGCCATAATCTAGAGAATGTCATTTGTACTCAATATAAGGAGACCGCTTAGTCGATTGAAATTTCGGCTGTCAGTTGTGCAGCCATCACCTCCCTACCATGTGCTGAGTGCCGATTAGTGTACTTTTATACTCCCGTGATTAAATACCAAGCATCTCGGAGTGAATCGCAGTGAAGTGAATTTGATGTATTAAGGTGACAAAGCCATTCGGTTGATTTGCAAGCAGTCAAACTTCCAGGAGCTTAAAAGTGCTACTCTAGGAGTCAAAACCGGACGTCTTATCTCTCAGAGTTGATATTCTTCCATGATCTTGAGCGAAACATGCACTTCGTAGACCTATTGATAAACTTATTTGGTGGCAATTGCTATGCGGCAATCGGCTCACACTTGTTTCTTAAATTATCAAGACATGTGAATTTCGAGACGTTCCGCGGACATCACTTACGTAATAGCTTTGCACTAGGGACGGATTTTGAAGTGATTTATGGATTACTTTGACAAGTACTGATGAGGGGATTTCAAGCACAGTTCTTGTAACTCGACCTACAGAGGAACGGTATTCAGTAATATGTTTATTGGACGTCATTCTCGTTTAGCTAATCGTCCCACCAGTTCAACATACCCCACAGACAACAGAGGGTTGGCTTAAACTAACAAGTAATTTCAACAACGAAAACTAGAGGAAATAAACGCCTAGTTCTAATCGAAAATGATACAAAACTGAAAAGTACCACTGCATTACTCTGAACATTTGTTTTAGGTTTGTGAACGCTGTCGTGTTTGAACTCATGTATTATGCAGGAGGCCTCCCTTTTCAGGTGTTTCTGTGTCACAAGAGATATGTCTTTCTGTTGGTCTGAGTGACATACGTGACCGTGAAACCAGAGGACGATGGTGGCTAGTCGGTTCTGCCGGCAATCCATTCAGCACCATCACCGCAGTTGTGCCCACGCAACATACAGCAGCTCAGGCATTGCATTCCATCAATGAACCTGGATACCATCTGGCACCTGAAGTGAGTAAAAGTTTCTGGTCTGCCCGGTTGGCCTCTCTAACCCCTCACCAGTCTCCAATATTTGCAGGGGAAATTTCAGCCTTCCCATAGTTATAGGCGTTCAAATCTGGACTTAACCTATTTACTTCCAGCTGTGTGGAAGTTTATGTAGCTGATTTTGAACAGAGACGAAATGTGCTTATGTTGGTACCAGTAACCGGTTCATATGACATCATCCTAAATGGGTCTACCTTAAAAGATCTGACCAAGTTATGTGGCTATTATGGACCAGGAAGTTGGTAGCTACAAACCATTTAGTGAGCACATGCACCTACTTCAGACACCTGAACGCGGAGGGTTTCATTTACGGTACTGGTGTGTCCTTAGCATCATTTCGCTTCATATGGGTTGCTCACGTTGCATCGTTTAGGCGTAGTCAATTTAGAGTTAGTTGGAGGTCTATATGTGCCTCATTAGAACTGACTTTTGAGAGATTCAGTATGCAAGTCCCGATATCAGAGCACTTTTCACTGTGTAGCCACCAGGATTTATCGACTTTATGTAACTAATCATTTTTAGATTGAAGCTGCTGCTGAGAACCTAGGCCTGCGGACGACTTTCAGACGCCAACTCTTCAGCATTCTAATGTCTACTCCGGGTGGTCCGGATGCAACTGCGTCAGCTCTGCTAAAGGCCTGCTCCTCAAGCGGATCAGGAGGGTCTTCCCATGAACGTGAAATGATCCAAATTGTGGTCCATTGCCTAATGGCTGAAGATCCATTCAACAGATTTTACCCTCGCGTGTTGGGAAGTTTCATAAACGCACACAGACGATTTCTAGTGAGTTATTACAATTTTTAGGTTTATTTCGAGGTTTACTATATAGTGGTTCACTACTCCATAACAGACATTCTCTTCGGTTCTGGAATCTTCAGGATCGAGTGGGGTGCAGTTTACACTGCCATCCAGAGAATAATGTGTAAGCCTCTGAGGCTTCTCACTGCGTCCACGAATTATTGTCGGCTATTTTCCTGGGAGTCGCGATAATGCAGCGTGCTTTAAAAGATGGTTCAGTTAAGGCAAGGTGTCAGTAGCATCACTATGTTACCTCATATTCTAGCATTGAACCACATAATTACACCAGTTAACAGCGTAAAATCATCCGTCGTGGAGCTTGACTTGAATTCAGTTGCCTCCTCGACGCCAACTCCTTATCTACCCTTGGGTTTGGGTTAACAGTGTGGTAGTAGAACAACTCCGTCACGACCAATCTACTGGGGTAAAGAGAAAATTTGGTCGTAACAACTGTGTTTTTCTCAGCTGCTGTTGCTTGCGTGATACGAAGGCCGAAGTACAGTGGTATCAGATAAGACCGGCGTGTTGGAGCCCGATATGCCCTGCTACGCGACTGGAAATCAGTTTTAATCAAGGTCGCATCTCATCTGCCTAAATCCCCCAATTCAGAGCACATTTCACTGTATCGCTTAGGTACTTCAGTGGATTTTGTTTTCTACATCACTATCGTATGTTACTCCTACGCCAGAATGGTCTGCAAACACCTATTAAAGAGTTTAGGAACAATTCTGTCGATACCTATTGTTCTATAGTAGGTATGAATGCTATGCGTCCATAAATTTCGCTTTTTAGATGATGATTAAATGCTCGTTCTGGGATGTGCTCAAGAAAGCAGATCTATCGGTCAACGCCAAGGCTAACGCTGGAAGGGCATTGGGAATCTTGGTTCTGGTCTTCAATCTACCCCTCACGGTTATCAAAGTAAGTGGTTGGCCATTTTGTCCTGGTGATTGTGAGGGTTGTTTTGCATGCATGGGGCAGGTACATCTGCATGACCAACTCCTAACACTCGTTACTGCGGACCTCAGTAAAACTGCACAGTTTCCACCCCCCCCCATGCATAGCTTGACATTAGACAACCATGGACATTCCCACACTGGGGACTCACTCCACACACGGGCACCTGTGTGAATTTATCCGAAGGTAGTTGAAGAAGCTTTTCAAATCAAGGGGAATCTGTGACTGTATCAGATCATGTTTAATTACCTACTTACGACTGACTGTGTCTAACATGAATTTTTTGGATACTAGTGCACATGGATGTTTCATTTTGTGCTTTACCCTTGGCATCTGGTGTGTTTCTTTTTAGAAAAGTTTGGTGCGTTCCGTGTTATTTTTTATGAGTTTATTGTAATACACGTGGTTCATGGTGTGCTATTTCCTCTACTTGCAACCGTTATGTCGAGTGCCTGGACATGGGTCTCCTAGTCTGAGGGTATATTTTTATTTTTTTAGAATTTTATCAAAAACTTAATGTAGATCGAGATTGTAGACAAATCCTCATTTGATCCACTTAACCGCTAAGGATGGTTGCATGGTTATATCATTCTAGGTAAACGGTGTGTTTAGTTTTCTCCAGGGAGCTCGGTGTGGCATAGTCAAGACGGCGATTGTTGGTTGAACCGATCGTCAATGGTCGTTCAAGAGGAATAGGCTCTGTAACCGATTGCTTTCTTTATAACATGTTTACTTCTTACTTTTAGAGGACGGGCAGCGCAGATGGTTACTAAGGCCAAGTGCGTCCGAGGTATCACCAGCGGGTGTTTTTTTTTATGAATGGAAGGAACTCGACGTAGAAGATCAAAAACAGTCGGTGAACCCATGTAGTTTTTCTCGTTACTCAGCACTTATCTGTCAATAACAAAACCATTCAGTGTCTAGCTGCCATGCCACCCAAAAAGACGCGCCAGCGCTTAGATGCTGCCAGGTTGTCCAAGCATAGACAGGAGCAGTCGAGATGCTGAGGTTAGGCTTGAATCACGGACCTTCCGGTCCGTATGTATGTAACGATAGCCGTCTCGCGCACTTAATTGTTTTCCAAATTTTTCTGTTACTCTCAGCCAAGCATATTGAGCTGCTGTTTCATCATGCAACACCATGTTACACTGCTTCCCATGATGAAACTTGACTCAGTTGTGGAGGTTCTCGGCGATGCGTTGCCCTGTTTCGCACTTGTAGTTTGAGAGAGTTGTAATTTGCTGGTATACTTTTGGTGTCGGGACTAGTTGCGTCACTGGCTCACACTGTAATCTCCAACATGAATTCATGTTTGTTTGGAAGGGATAAATTGATTGGCTTATGGTGAGCCCCATGCCTCAAATTGAGTTCTAAATCCACTTTGTTTTTGTGAATCTTCTTATTCATAGCTTTACCACTGTTGTATTTGCAGAATTTCGATTTTGGCGACACATCTGACGGCAACGTTGCATTTCTCCGTCATGTTTTCGTCGAACTTTGCGCGGGAGAATATCAACACGCGCTGGCCAAGTTAATGCAGTTGTCTACGTACACACTTCTGAGTCGAAACACTCGTATTTTTATCCGGAAACATTTTTCATCCGAGACTGATGAGAAGCTGAAGTCATTTGTTCTTCGACTTGCTGAAGACATGCGTGAATCCGAGATACATTGATGTGCCCAGGCATACCGTGTATTGAGTTGTACAAAGTGTAAATCATACTTCGACTTTGCATCTACCTGTTTTCATTTTTGCCGCCAAGGCGATGGCGTCAGGCAGTGGACCGATTGCGTGAAAGCCTTCTGTCCAATTTCCGTGTTACGTCTACTGTCCCTTGTTTTGCCTAATCCTGATGCGCCCGATGACTTAAAGACTACATATTTGTCACTCATGCACTCGTGGGCTCTCTGTACCACAAGTCAGAACTGTTTCGTTTCGCCAACGGATTACCATGTGTTACGCAGAACTGATGATGCCCACCGGTAGGTAGTTCCTCAGAATATACGGAGTACAGTCGTGCAGTCTACATAACTTACTCACATAGTATTTCTGGTATCCACACCGATTCTGTGTCCATCGTCAAGCCAATCAATAGTTCATGCGGCTTGAATGCTCCTCTGGCTTGAAAGTGTTTTGTCGCGGAAGCCTTTGTTGATGGGAAGTGCCGACTACGCCCAACGACTATGTTCAAGTGAATTAAATTCTTACATTAACCGTGTGCGTACGCCTTTATCCTACGCCTTTATCCTTCAGATATCAATAACTTGTTATTGTTCTCCCGTTTTGCTCACTCGTAGTGGAAACTATGTGCCACTTAGGTCATCTAAATTGGACAGAGTAGTGCGGAATGTGCCGTTGGTATAATGAACGGGGAAGATGGTGAGATATATACGCCCACCAGTCAAACAGGTTTGAATTTTGAATAGGAAGTTATGAGAAATGCACTCATTTGCAAATCCATTTGGTTTTCACGAGAGACTCCACTGAATCTTCCGTTTACGACATTTTTCAATTGCATGTGCTGCACACAGGCCGCCTCATGTTTCATTTGGCACGATATTCGAGGTTTCGCAATTTATTTTCATAAAGGAAACTACTCACAAGTTTGTCGAAGAGTTTTCAGCAACCTTGTGAGTAGTTTCCTTTATGAAGTTATGAGAAGTTTTGAGGCTTTGAATCTGACATCAACGTGACCAAGCGGTACCGCGCCTCTCCAAAAAATGAATTCAGCCAGCAAAAAAGAACCAGCGTGGAACAGTTATTATCGAAATTAATGCCTGATGTCAGTTCTTAGAGGGATTTAGTGCAGTAGCGACCAACATGGGAACCTGATTAAATCGGCTAGGTCACTACTCTGCAATGGTCCAAGTTCGTGTCCGTATGTAACAATTGAATGGCCCTTGAATCAGTTTGCTAATTTTCGAACAAATATATGGTCTGTAATCGCATTTTCTAGTATTCTTACCTGTTTAAGCCCGTTGGAAATATTCCTAGAAGACGAAATAGTCGAAGTTTTCCACGCGGGTAAAAGATGACCATTTTCGCTTAGTCCCACTGATGGAAATACACTGTGCAATCGTGCGTGGTCTTGGCATATCAGGTCAAGCCAACGGACTATGGTCGGCGTTTCCCTCTGATTAACATGTTCCAGTCGCCAGTGAACACGTGACTAATCCATCGCTATCTTTTTCTGGATAAGCCAGTGGGTCGAAATATGATGGTTTCATTACAACCCTCCATAGTAACCAATTGCTCATGTTCAGTTCACTTCAATTTACAGGTAGTCCGAATTTCACGTGTGCTGAACGATCATGGGGTAAGGTCACATCCTGGTCAGCTCCATATCGACTGATAAAAACCGATTGAGCGCTGGTACTAGATAACAGTAGCAGTGGGAAAAAGGGATGTTAGCGCCTGATCACACTACAACAGGAAGCTGCTCATTTCAGCTTTGAAGTTATTAAACGGCACGGTTTCTATCACGTTTATTGTTAGGATGTGTTCACATCCAAATTGTGGTGCCTGTGAAGGCATTTCTCATCACATCACTGATACTGTGACGTTGCAGTTTGTACCACTCAAAAAGTAAAGTGGCACAGAAGAGCAGCGAATTCATGGGAGACAAGATTGAGATTAAATGCTAAAATATGGAGTATCTTGAGCAATCGCAATTTCGAAGTCGCACCTCTGAGTTATATCGTGTTTAAGAACTTAACAGTTGTAGTTCATGAGTCTAACATATCTGTTGGTCATCTATGAAGATATCGGAGTTGCTCATGAAAGCTGCTCTCTTCCTACCCGAGAACGAAAGAACTTAAATTTTACATCAAAATTGCATAGAATAAACACTATGGACCCATGGTGGTGTGTTGCAGAAGCTTTAGCAGTGTTAGCCGTAAAAACCCTAACAATTGGTGGATGAAATTCCTTGTGATGGCATTGTTTATGCTCTGGAAGTATTTGTGCGTAGCTCAGGTTGCCACTATAAAAAGCCGTATACGCCATTCTGACAATCAGAGAGAGAGATTGGTGGATAACTACGTATTAAGGCGCATGCTGTATTTGAAACTATCGTAGTCATAGCATAGGCCAAGGATAAGTAGTAGCCGGGTGACCGGGCAGAGTCACTAAGCAATGAATATGGGAATACCATTTGGTTTCGTGACTTCGACGTGTCGTTCACTGGTTCGTACCTGTGGGCTATTGCCCCACGGGGTCCTCAGACAGGGAAACTGTTAATTCGTTTGTTATGGGATGAACAAAGAATATTTCGACCTGGCAAACAGTCGCACTAAAACTGTACCCTGGGGCAAACGATATCCATCCAACACGACGGTGAAATCAGCGCCTCGGGGAAGTCTGACATGCAATCAGTTTATTAAACTGGTCTGGGCAACGGCCCCATGCATCATTTGATGCACATCGACTATCAGAAAAACCTATCGTACTCCTCAGATTTTTTTTACCTACCTCGAAATTTGCAGCAGGTTTACTTTTGGAAATTTCGTCACCGACAAGCAAACTGGTCTCATTTTGACAACACAAATATCGTTTGGCAAATAACTCCCTGTACAAATCTGTAACCGGACTGAATTCTATCAAATTAAAACTGATGAGTGCGGAAACGACAAGGAATTAAGAAGCGAGCAACAACTAGCAGGAAACTGACCGACTGAGAAATTTACGGTAGAGAATGAGGTCAGTTGTGGGTGTTCACGGGCCCAGGCAAAACAGTCCCAAAATCTTTTGATTACAAGCCGGTACATGCAATGTGTAAGTCAGTAGAGAGGAACGGGCCAATAGCTACTAAACGAATAAGCCAGCCAGGGTTGAAGTGCCCTGCGAGGGTTGTACTTTGTCTAGGCTTTGGGGTTCTACGCAGGATGTGATTGGTTGTTAGTCGCGTAAGCTTTTGGTTTCGTAGGTGAAGAGGGAAAACCAACGAAAGCGGACAGGAGTATAGTGATTTCCGCTGTATGTACGTGGAACGCCCCAAAAAAGTTTTCGCAACGAATTGTGCATTTCCAAACTATGATTTAGCAGCAAGAGTGGAGAGTATATACCACACAGCGCAACACAGGAGAAATGAATGGATTTTTTCTCGATCGAACAAGTTTGGTCTTCGGCTGCCGTAACTAATAGCTTGACGACCAACCTCAACATCACCGGACCGCGTTTCTCGGAATTCAGGCTGCTTCATGTTTCAGTTGGTACGATATTCGAGATATCGCGATACATTTTATAGATGCTCAAAAGATTGCTGAAAACTCTCCGGTTGGTTTCGCCCTTCTTGCGACTAATCAGGTAGGCACAGTCCCCGAGTTTCCGTCAGCTTTTGTTCTAGATGAACCATTTTTAGTTTACATCGGAGTAGATGAGCCAGACAGATACCGCTAAAAGTGCAGCAGTCGCCCGTTTAGCAACACGAAGTTGCCATAAACACACGTCAGTAATCTTGGTTCTGCAACTAGACGTTTCATGCACGTTGATTGTTCTAAGGTTTACTGAATTGTCGTGCATTCATTATGCATAGCTATTATGGCTGTTTTCACGGCAAAACAGGACGTTCTGGCTCTACATCGGCTGTTATATCAGTTTGCGTGAATGTGATGACGGATTACATTAAGACTTTCATTGTTTCTATAGGGGGCTGTTATAATTACACAGCTCATGCCCGCTACTTTGGAGCACGGCTGCCTGTCAATAAACACCAAAACCAGTCAATTTTTGCCAGTTCACTCACGCAAGTTTACACATCCAAGGTCTGTTGCTGTACTGTCCTCGAAGTTTCCGTCAGAACTCTGCTATTGCAAACTTCGCACTTACAGTCACATTTGCACCCTGTCGGATTGAATACGATTAGAGGGTTAGAGAGTTTGTTAACACGTTGCGGAAAAATTGGGGTACACAATGAGGCCACAGGTAGACTGGTCTAAAATGGTTACATTCCTTATCAGTGCTGTGCATTGGAAATCGAGTAGCGATACAGAGGACGGGGCTGTTTGCGATCGAGCGCTTAGTATGTTCAGATAGACTACAATCCATGCGTGAGTCTTAAGGGCAGTCAGCGGTCGCTAGCTGGTTCGAGGGAGATAGTACCACGCGACGCATGACAGACTTGTGTGGCTCAGCACTCCATGCTTCTTGGTCGTCAATTTTGATTGGGGCTCCAACAACGGTGGATCTTACCGTAGAGGCCATACTGAAGACAACATTGTGATGCCTTCTTAGAGTCGCACGTTGGGGAAGTATTGCCTGGCATTAAGGACCGCCCTTACTATTTACTTCAAGTTGAACGAACGATGCTGTACGTCCCTGCCAATAGTTTGCCAACGTCACAAATAGAATATGACAGGTAGATGTAAATGGGAACGGCCAATGTAGGACTTCTTTCGAAGGGTGAATTTGGGTACCTTTCGACATACATTTGAAGAGAAGCCCCACAGATCAAGCAGAGCGGCGTATGTCTTGGCGGCACTCGAAAGTCCTTTAGCTGCAGCGGAGCACCACTACCGATCAGTTTAAAACAGAGCTATCATCAGTCATACTGTGGATAAAGTCTACACTACAACTTGATGGTTCACATTTTCACTGAACCGAAATTCGATCCTCCACAACGTGAACCGGCAATGACACTGGATTTCAGTAATACTGGTCTATCTCACCATTAGGGCACCTTGAAAAATGATAGGCTTTTTCACGCCTGGACTCTTAGCATTGATGCAGATGCCGTTGTCACTCCTGTGACTAGGATACTAAAGCAAATAGCAGTGTTCTGTTGGCAATCGGCCAGTTAGTCATACATCCTGTTCATTGAAACTACTGAACGCGACAGCATACGACGCTGGGTAATAAGACATTACAGATCAGCCAGCAAACACACCACCTTTTGTTTTCTAATCAATACGTCGAGTGCAAAAGGTAGAATGGTTCCAGCCGATAATAGGAACGACGGGAGGAAGGAACATATACGGATTAGAGATGGAAGGCTAAGCAGTCCTAATAGGTGCATTCCAAATTACCCATAGGACGCCTCAAGGATTCATGGTTCGAGCAACTTGTTACATACTGACATGAATTGAATAGTCCGCCCACTTTTCAAAATGCAATCTGTTGGGAATGTACGGGGTACTATTTGAGATTCCGTTTAATGAGAACTTTCAGGGGCTTCGGGCGCTATCCACACGACGGCTCCGCAACTTAAGTCCCGTCATGGATCGCCGTTCAAACGAAATACTTAGACCGATATTCTTCAAATTCCTCCACAGACTGGGTTGGTACAGTGTGTCGAGAAAAGCCGAATATTCTGTTTCATGTGATTTTATCCGATTGCTGGTTAATGGAGTTTCTTGTGAAAAACCACCGCACAAGTTTTACGATGACCCATTAGACCGACGTTTTCAAAGATTAGAGAGCTAGTAAGCAACCTCTGTGGCTTTCGTGCAAGGGGGCACCAATAGTTTCTACGGTGAAAACCTGGGGAACTGGAAATCATTTCACACCAACGAAGGATTCAATTTTGCTAGAACCGTTGCCATTGGGATAGGTTTGTCAACAACTCATTCACAGGGGAAGATAAGTAGAGCAACCGGAAGTTCAGATGACGTTGTGATCTGTGAACCCGACTCGTATGAGGACACAAATCTCACATCCGAAGCGGGTACAAAACGTGGAATCTCACTCAAAATTAATAAGGCGCATTGCATCCTGCACTTCACAAACAAGGTGCGACGGTCTGACACCGCACCCAGTAACTTTATCATAGGAATTGAAGCCTACCATCAGCTTGAAGTGCGTCACTTATGGTAGCGATTTCTCCAAAAATATCAAGAACTATCGCAGAATCAGCCATGCAGTTGGGCTGTGCTCGACTTGTCAACACACAAGCTGTCCCGCGCTTCGTAGTTTATTGAAGAAATCACGATATTGTATATTAGTTTATTTCCTAATTTCAGATTGAAGATAGCAAAAAAGATAATAAATAAAAACTCGTCGCATTGAGGATATCGAAAATTACGATTGTTCTTTCTTCTTGAAGTTCAACGACGCACTATTAATGCAGTATCGAAGTCCGGTAGGTTTTGGTCCGTCCTCAAACACGTGACCGAGGTGTGCATCACACTGAAACGTGGAAAGATCGCATAATTAAAAGGTATTCCGCAAAAACAATCAGCAGCTTCATAAATGTTGTGATTTCAAATGGTTTCGAGTGTATAAATAATCGCGCGCCTCAATAGGCAAGTCCGCAAGTTTAAAGGATAGATAACATAGTCCACCAACAGCACTCTAAGACTACTTCAGCATAGAAAGCTGACGGAGGATTTCCAGATAAGCATATCCGTAAACACTACTTAGGGGATAGGTTTAATTGGCTAGTGGATTCAAGGCAGAAATAAGGATTTGTAATCGAATAGCAGGATGAAGCAGATGATGCACCACACAGTTCTTGCCCTTCAGCTAATATTCTTGGGGAGCATCAAAATAGTTCATACTTTCAAAGATGGTTACTGGAACGGAACCGCCAGTTAGTTCTACGCATACATCAAATCTCCATAAGCAGAAATCATTTTATGGAATATGATGCAATCCGACGTTTCGGTTTCCGTGGGTAGACTTTTTCAAGGAATTCTACAATCACTTTTATTTCGGGTTACCTGATGTGAATAATCGCAATCCGGAATTTCACTGAAATCGTCAATCTGGAATACGTTGACACGGCCGGCCAGTCGAGCTTATTGTTGTGTGCTGGTTGTGGCTTACTTCCAAACTCAATTACCTCAGATGGTTACCTGAGTCAATTAACTCGTGATCCTAAACACAGGCGTTGGAATAATAGTGTACAAGTGGCAAATAAGCTGACACCGAGCACTTAC